CTTCAAGTTAGCACTCCATAAGTGACTAATGAATCCCACTGAGACTTACAAGGAGCCTTGTGAAATGAAACTTAGAACTGACTTCTCCCATTGTTCAAAGGTTGCCCCACAGGTGTTGACTCCTCCATATTTCTGGGTAGTGAATGAGTAAGTGCAGAGTATTTACTGTCTGGTTGTACCTGCAGCCAGTTATAGCCTACAAGGAATTGGGCCTCCGTAGCTGGAATAAGAGATTGGGTCAAGAGATTTTTCAAGTGGTACACAACAGGTGTCTATAATCCTGTGTGTGGTAAAAAATCCAAAAGGTACAGAAGAATGTAGAGTGATAAGTGTGTCTTCTCCTCTTGTATTCTAGTTCTGGGGTCAGCAAACTGCAGTTTACCACTGACTGCCTGTTTTTAAATAAAGTTTTATTGGAACAGAGCCATGCCCATTCATTTAAGTATTATCTATGGCTGATCTCAAGTGACAGCATCAGAGTTGGGTAATTACCACAGAGACATGGCTCATGAGCTTAAATATTTGGCCATTTAAGAAAAAGTTTGCTGGCCCCTGTTCTGGTCATCCTGGTTCCTTCCCTGGAAACACCCACTGTTGACTGTTTCCTGAGATTTGGTGTGCATTAACAACTGTGTGTATACTTTATATACCTACCTAACTCCCCGCCCCTCCACACACGTACATCTGATGACTACATATGTAATACATACTTGTTTTCAACTTCAAAGTATCTTAGTGATTTTTCCTTATTAGTACATATAAAACATTCTTATTCTTACTGTTAGCCCCATAATATTCCAATATATAGAACTACCATTTAGTTAACCAGTTCCCTATTGATGGACATTTAGTTATTTTGTCTCTTTTTATTATTACAAATAATAACATTATATTTATACATGTTTCTAATACAAAAAGATTAACTCCTTGAATGTTCCTATCTTAAACTTTGTTTCCATCATGTACCTGCCAAGACTCATTGCCCACAGTATGCATTGTTTTATTTGAGGGGAGCAAGATCATTAGGGGCTGGAGTTGTTGGGGTAGGCCTTGCTCAAGAGGTTCTCCATAAGTTGGATCTTGAAGAATCTAGATGAATAGGGGGATAATGAAAAGACTGTAGGAAGAGAAGTAGGACTGAATGATTGAAGGCTGTGGTTACCAAAAGCTTGACATGCTCTTGAGCTGCCCTGCCCAGTACTATAGCCATGAGCCATGTGATGGTTCTTAAGCACTTGAAATGTGGCTAGTCCAGATTGAGATGTGCATGAGGTGTATGTGGTGAGAAGATACACACTGGAGTTTGAAGACTTAGTATAAATAAAAAGAATGTTAAGTATCTCATTAGTAACTTAAAAAATATTCCTAGAGTGGTATTCTGTATATATTGGGTTAAATAAAATATTATTAAAAATAATTTTATCTGTTTTTACTTTTTTAAATGTGGCTACCAGAAAAATTACAATTACATTATGTGGCTTGCATTATTCTTTGTTGGATAGTGCTGCTCTGGCTCATCCTTCAGTATGGAGTGTAAGGTTCATTTTGGGGACTGGTATGTGATTAGTTGGGAGGTGTTAGATAGTTACCAGAAGTAAGTAACTTGCATTGTATGTTCTAGGCATAAGAAGGCCATTGCAGTTTCTTAAACAGTGTTATAAAGTGATGAGATTAGTTTTAGGAAGATTAAACTAGTTATGTTGTGGTGTGCTACAATAACTAAGTTTAACTGAGTGCTTACTTGGTACTAGGCACCATCCTAAGGGCTTCGTGTGTATTAACTCATTTAATCCTCACAACAGCCCTGTGAGGTGTAGGTACCCCTCATCTTACAGATGAAGCTTGAGTCACAGGGAGGTAAACTTAATGGCCCAAGCTCATATAGTAACTGGTAATGCCTTGGCTGTGAATCTAGGTGGTCTGATTCCAGAGCCCACATGTTAAACTGCCACATTGTGGCTCTGAAGGTGAATGAGAAAAAGGAGGTGATCCTTACTCATAGTAAGCACTTAAGCATTTGATTGACAACAAATGAATGAATGGTAACTGATCATTTTCTGACCCTATTTATTAACATTTTAAGTTTTAAAAATCTTCTATCTTCATATTACCCTGATACTTTTGTTTTAAATTCTTATCACTATGGTTGGTGGTTGTTTAACACTATGTATGATTTTGGCTATCCAGGACCAGCTCAATATATCACAAAAGCTGTAAGTTGATTTTTCTTGTGTTTTGTATACTTTAAAAAGATTTTAAGAATATGTATTGTTTTGTTTTGGTGTACTTGTAAGGCAAGTTTTATTTTATCCTCTTCATTTCACAGAGGAACAGAGAAGCTAAGTAATGTGGCCAAGGTTTTATGGCTGGGAATTATAAAATCCCGAGAATATGTAGTTTTGATTGCTCTTGTGTTTGTTTTTAAAAGTAAACATTTTCTGTTTGAGCATGGAGCTAATTGGTCGTAAATGGTGTATATTTATTCCTAAAACTTTTCTTGGACGTCATATCCTAAACATGAAATTTGAAATAAATGTGAAATAAAAGTGAAATTTCTTCATACAAAAGGTATATCCAAGAGGAAAATGTTGCATTAGTGAAAGCCAAATGAAAATGCTTTTTGTTTTTAATGATGTTTAATGCTCATAGGGTATTGGAGGAGAAAGGAAGCTCATTTTTACCAGTGTAAATGGAACTAACATGGTAATGGAGGGAGAGCTAGAATCCCTTCAAATGGTGCTTGCTTAAGAAAGAGCTGGGGGCCTGCCTGGTGGCGCAAGCGGTTAAATGCTCCCGCTCTGCTGCGGCAGCCCGGGGTTCGCCGGTTCAGATCCAGGGCGCACACCCATGCGCCGCTTGGCAAGCCATGCTGTGGTGGCCTCGCATATAAAGTAGAGGAAGATGGGTATGGATGTTAGCCCAGGGCCTATCTTCCTCAGCAAAAAAGAGGAGGATTGGCAGATGTTAACTGAGGGCTGATCTTCCTCACACACACACAAAAAAATCAAGAGCTGGCTTCCAAGGTGCCCTTTTGATTTAGCCCTAACACCAAATATTTTCTAAAATATTTCTAGGTCAGAGGTCTAGTCTAACTAATGCCTAAATTTTTCTGATTTTTTTTTTCAAAGGTTCCCCCACCGCCCAAAGCCCCAGTAGATAGTTGTACGTCATAGCTGCACATCCTTCTAGTTGCTGTATGTGGGACGAGGCCTCAGCATGGCTGGAGAAGCGGTGTGTCGGTGCGTGCCCGGGATCCGAACCTGGGCCGCCAGCAGCGGAGCGCACGCACTTAACCGTTAAGCCACGGGGCCAGCCCAATTTTTCTGGTCTTTACGAGTCATGTTTCTGTCATGTGTTAAGGAATGACATGCACACCAAGAATTTAGGATCTTATTCTTATCTCTGACATCTCTGACTGGGGCCTTGGAAAAAAAAAAGTACGTCTGTTTTTATCCTGTCAAAAATCTCATGCATTCTTGGGTTTTCTTTTTCTTTTTTATCTCTTAGGTTTCTAGAGATTCATAGGCTTTAAAAATTAATTAAAGTAGGCTATTAGGATTGGAAGAGACCTTTAGAAGTGATTTATCTAGTCCAGGGTTTCTCACCCTGGGAACTATTGATATTTTGGATTAGATAAATCTTTGTGGTGTGTTGGGGGGGAGGCTGTCCTGTGTTATGTCCTGACCACAGCAGTGTCTCTGGCCTCGACCCACCAGATGCCAGTAGTTACCCTTCAGTTGTGACAACCAAAAATGTCTCCAGACATTGCCCTGAGTTCCCTGGGAGACAAAATTGCTCTGGTTGAGGACCACTGATAAAGCACATTTCCTGTAGGTGGTGGTGCTTCTGGAACTCTTGACGTTGAGGAGGGAATTGACCACCTTCTCTAGCAGTCCATTTCAGCTTCAGGTGGCTCTCTTAGGGTAGAAATCGTTTCTCTCGGTGAAGCTAAAACCTGCCATCTGTAGCTTTTTAGTTCTACCTCTTGGGACCATAGAGACTTTCTCAGTTATTGGAACACAGGCACCCAGTCCTTCCTGGTCCCTCATGTGATTGTTTTAGAGCCTAAGTTGACAAACTTTTTTTTTTGTAGTGGCCAGATAATAAATATTTTTAGGTTTGGCCTCATATTTGCAAGCTACTTCAGGTCTCTGTTGCATACTTTTCTTTTCCTTCTTCCCTCCCTCTCCCTTTTTTTTTTTTCCGCAACCCGTTAAAAACGTGAAAAACATTCTTAGCTGGACTTGGCCTCAGCAGTAGCTTGCCAGTCCCTGGTTTTAGAGTCTCTCCCATCTGGGGTGATCTTCAGAGGGCAGTGCCTTCTTAAAATGTGGTGCCTCAGAACCAGTACAGGACTACGGGTAAGGGCTGAGCAGCGCAGAATAATGGGCTTGTCACTAACTCTTTAAAGTGCTTGCTGCCTTTTTGGAGCTTTGTCACATTTTTAACTTAAAATGACCTTAACGCCAACCAAGACTCTAGTTTGTCTTTTTTATTAGGCCCCATACCTCCTAGGATATTTTTAGACTTTAGTGTAGGACCATCCATATATCCAGCTATATTAGACCTCGCTTTAGAGCCAACTCTTGCTCTAGCCTGTTAAGCGCTTTGTCGTCTAAAGTGTTAAAGAAATTTCTCTCAGCTTCCTGTTACTAATAAACGTATGTTGGTGTTCTACCCAAGTTATGAATAAGAATTTGAATGAGACATAGCTAAGAACTAAGTCTAAACTCACAAGTACTTAGAAAATAAGGTAATTGTAATGTGTAGATATAGCTGGTCTCTACTCTTGTTTTTTCCCAATTGTTTGGTAGAATTGTATTTGGATCTGCATTGTAGCAATCATCAATCAGAGATTGCTGTCGTTACTGATGGCTTTCAAAGTGATTAGACAGTAAATAAGTCTAATGACCATGACAGAAAAACAATTCACATACAAAATAAAAGAATTTTAAATAATGATTTTTTTCAAAAAATAGCTGATATTTATATTTTTTTAATTTCAGAAAGGTTTTACACCAGCTGCCCCGGTTCATACCAATAAAGAAGATCCAGCTGCTCAAACTAATTTGGGATTTATCCATGCATTTGTCGCTGCCATATCAGTTATCATTGTATCTGAACTGGGTGATAAGACATTTTTTATAGCAGCCATCATGGCAATGCGTTACAACCGTTTGACAGTGTTGGCTGGTGCTATGCTTGCCCTGGGCCTAATGACGTGCTTATCAGGTGAGTTTCCTTTTTCTTCCTAATGAGTTTATTGAATTAGGGAGAAAGCATGGTGTGTGGTATTGAGTCACATTCAACTAGTTATGTTAGAATTTGGTTCACTTTCCAGAATTTAGTAAATAGAAAATGGTTTCAGTACATAAATTTCTAAAAATCGTATTGCACTTTTAAAATTAAATTTTCAGCTATTCACAGTCAAGATACATATTCCTCATTTATTCATTAGTTTGTTTGTTTGTTTGTTTTTGGTGAGGAAAATTGTCCCTGAGCTAACATCTGTGCCAGTCTTCTCTCTTTTGCATATGGGATGCCGGCACAGCATGGCTCAGTGAGCAGTGTGTAGGTCCACGCCCAGGATCCCAACTCGCGAACTTAACCACTATGCCACTGGGCCGGCCCATTCATTAGTTTTTTAATCCTTGCTTTTTTTCTTTTCAGTCCAGATAAGTTTATTTATATGTTATATATTAGAAATAGGTATATTGTGTAAAAGTATTTTTTTTTCAAGTGTATTTTAAGATATACCCAATGGAATCTGAATACCATTAACAATTTGATACCCACCATCACCATCATTCCTTTAAAAAAACATGAACAAACTCTTCTTTAATGTTTGGAATTTACATTGTTCTTTTATCTCCTTTAATTCTTATTTTCACTTACTTTCCTCATAGAATTTTACTCTAATGATTATAAGTTTTTGCTTGAAAATCTTTTGTGGATCACACTGTCATATTTATCCTCAGCAAAAATATGCATATAAATTGAATTTTAAAAGACGCTGAATATTTCCTTTAAGTCTCTAAATGTTAACATTTTTTATGGATTGAGTTATAGTTATTAGTAGAGTTGATCAAAGCAAAATATAGCACAAATTAAACAAACATTTTTAAAAAGTTGGAAATGCATCTCTTAATGACATGATTCAAATTAGTTTATATGACCATGAATGATACTTATTGCTAGAATGAAGCAAGGTTTAGAATCAATGCTGATTTTTTTTTTTTTAAATGGATTTAAGGGCTGAGAAATATTACTCATATAAATAAGTAGATAAGAAGAAATTTTATTATAGCTGTCTCGTTCAGTTCATTGAACTTCTGGCTTATGTGCTAAAAATCACATACTAGTCTATCATCAAAAATGATTTTTAATGATTTACCAGCTAACAACTTAATAACGTCTTCTGTCGATTTTCTTGAAAGCAGAGAATTGGAAACCCAGGTATACCAAAAAAGTTTTTCTGAAATTTATCAACTGACCATTGTTATACATGTTAGTCTTGTACTTAAAACTACCTTGTTTAACTGTATACATTTAGAAGTGGTTGAGAAAATTGAAATATTAAATTCAGAGTACTTTTGTCAAGAAAGGATTTCATTTTAAAAATTGTATCTTATCACATTTTAAATATATTTTTCTGGAACTTTGGAGCTGCAGATTTAGCTCATTCAATTTATGGAAAATATCTACCACATTCCCTAATTGCCATGGCAGTTCTAGTAAGTCCATAGTAAATCATCTAAGTCATGCTTATTTTCTGTCAGAAAGCATTTGACTGGTTTTTTGAATTTAAATAAACATCGTATACATCCCCATGACAACCATCTGCCTTAGAATTCCAATTCTAAAAAGGATGGATGGATGGATTAGGCATGGAACTTAGCCTTGTGTGCCACCTGGGTGAAATCAGTCAGTGGGCTTTCGTATTTCTTTCTGATGCTCTCTTTGCTGTAACAAGACTCTGCCTTAGGGAAAATGCATTTGTTTACACTGGTTGGCAGATGAAAGAGGGACAATTTCTAAGTGAAAATTATTTCTACCAGGGCCAAAATACCTTATTTCTAATGCCATGACCTTATCAGAAACTTGTATAAGACAGGGAAGACCCAAAGCTCTATCTTTGGTTTATGATGGCTTGGTTGAGGACACCAGTATTTCACACCCCCTTTTTGATGCCCTAGAATATCTGTCTCTCCATACTGTGGGGAAACGAACATAGGAAGCTGGGTAAAAGGCATCTTTGTAAAGTGGGCAGAGGGCAACTGAAGAAAGATGTGAGAAAGGAGGGCCCGCATGACTCCTTTGACTACAAGCATGTTTTCAGGCAGATGAGTTTTAGGAAAGAGTACATATGGAAGTTGAACTTCTGGAAATAGATTCTTCTACAAACTATTAATCTTTGTCCGCTTGTAAAGTCTTTGTGTACTCCTGGGGGTATGTCAGTCCTAGTTTGTAGATTGCTCACATGCATCTCTTTTATTTATTTATTTATTTATTTAGTGAGGCAGACCAGCCCTGAGCTGATATCCGATGCCAGTCCTCCTCTTTTTTGCTGAGGAAGTCTGGCCCTGGGCTAACATCCATGCCCATCTTCCTCTACTTTATATGGGACGTCACCACAGCATGGCTTCAGCAGGCGGTGCATCGGTTTGCGCCCGGGATCCAAACCGGCGAATCCCCGGCCGCCGCAGCAGAGCGCATGCATTTAACTGCTTGCGCTGCGGCCGGCCCCACATGCATCTCTTTTATACTTCAGCAGAGGGCTAAGCAGGCTAGGGAGGCTGCCTGGGGTGTATCCAGGCTCTGCCTCCTCACTCAGCTGGGGGATTTACCTAGCCTCTCTCTGCCGTCTGACAACAGGGATGATAATCATATCTATGTTAGAATTTTGTTATTATTGCTGTTCCCCTCCTTCTCAGAGCCTTCCTCCCATTTCACTCTTTATCCACTTGCAATCTGATTTCTGCTTCTAACGCTGTTGTAAAGGCTTCAGTAATCAGCTTTTCTTATTACAGAGTTCAGTTTTGATTTTAATGAGCCCCTTAGACCACACTCACGGGCATTCCTATCTTTTCATTCTTTTGGCTTCTGTGACACCAGGTGCTTCTGGTTAATTTCTCTTTGAAAAAAATTTTTGTACCATAAATATTGATATTCCTCACAGTTTTATCCTTGGCCCATTTTTTTCCCTTCACGCTAATGTTCTTGTGCTGAGTGTTCTCAGTTTAATTACCTGTAAGTCAGCAATTCCCAAATCTGTATCTTCACTCCAGATATCTTTCTTGGAACGTCAACATTGCCGAGATATAGAAGGACCAGTACATTTGTAGCTCCATTCTGACTTGATGCAAAGCACTTGCTTAAAGAGAAATAACCTCTCGTTCCTGGAGCAAACGGGCTTGAGTGTCTGAGAAAAGATTTCCAAGGAAAGAGGAAATAGAGGGACAGTAACCGGGGTTAGAAAAACAGTTATGCCAAGTAGTGTTTTGCTCTCTATGGAGCTGTCAAGGCAAAAAAGGTGGGATTATAAGTGTCAGTAAATAGTAACAGTTTCTTAGATCATCTGAAGATAGAAGGAAGACTAAGTTTAGGAGATTTAAAAAGTTTGCTACGTTTCATTTTTAAATTTTTAAAATTTTTTATGGAAAATATTTTAAATTTACAAAGTTACAAAAATAAAACAGCACAAAGAACACCTATATATACCTTTTATCCAGACACCTGTTAACATTTTACCCATTTGCTTTAGCATTTGTGACCTATCTGTCCATTTATCTATAATCTAAATAAAATTATGTGTATGTACACACATGATTTATTTATCTATAGATATATAATATATACGTGTACATATGCAATTTGTATATCTATAGATATGTGTATGTATACACATAATTTAGTATATATCTTTATATACATAATAGATTCATTACTTTAATCTATCATCTGTATAGTCTTTTAATCTGAAATGTTTCCACAGCTGTTTCTTACATGTTTTACAATATTAACATTTTTTAAGAATACAGCCCCTCCCCCTTTAATGGACTGTTCCTCATTTTGTGTTTGTCTGGTGTTTCCTCGTGATTAGATTGAGGTTATGCATTCTTGACTAGAACACTGCATAGGTGATGTTTGTCCCTCTAAGATACCACATCTGGAAGCACATGATGTCCATTTGTCCCTCATTGATGATGTTAGTTTTGATCACCTGGTCAAGATTTCTCTTATATACTGTCTTTTTCTCTTCCCTTGCAATTAATATGCAATCTTTAGGGAGCTACTTTAAGACAATACAAATATCTGTTTCCTATAGTTTAGCATCAGTTGATGACTCTTACGTGATCGAAACCTTGATGCTTGCAAAATGATGGCTAATTCCAGTACCTCATCCATATTTACCAGTGAGCCTCGGCATGCTGCTCCAAGAAAGAGGTCTCCTTCCTCTCCCATTGTTTTGTCTATTTATTATCAGTATGAACTCATGAATTCCTTTTTTCAGTGGTTTATAATTAATTAGTTAACTCTATTGTTGCTTAAATTGTCCCAGATTTGGTGGCTGGGAGCCCCTCTAGACTGGCACCCGTGTCCTTGTGACATGCTCCCATTATTTGTTTTTGTGCTTCCTTACTTTCTAGTATAACAAGATAATACAAGTTCCTCTTGTACATACTCTGCCCAGTCCTTGAATTAATCATTTCTCTGAGGAGCCTTTACTGGGGAATGGTATAAGAAACTAAGATATGGGTGTAAAGTTGGCTCGTTGTTACTGAGATATCTTTGCTTCTTGGCCTTTTCAGTGGACAGAGCTAGAAAACATGTCTGTATCACACATACATACACATATACACAAATATACATACATATATAATTCAAATATAGATGTGCACATAAGCATATGTTTGGTACATTTCTAAACATGATTTTAAAATCTTTTCAATTTTGTAATGTAATGAAGTAGGGAATAGTTTACCTATGCAGTTATACATTTGATGTTCAGGCAAATTTCTAAGTGTTGTACTCATTTTATAAAAAGAGCTTGTGAACTAAAGAGTAATTGCATTTATTACATATATGGAAATATCCTCTGGCCCTTCCATGGTTTTTAAGTTTTAATTATTGAACTGATATTACTTGTGTGTGTTTCACATTTAGGATTTGGGTTCTTGATGTAGTTCCAAGTAATAGTTTTTTGTATAACTTATATACTGTCCTGTTGCCTTGATGATGGGAAAGAATGGTACTAAATAAGTTTGAGTCTGTTGTAAATGTTATTTTAATATATGTATGAAGAATTATTAGTTTTCTTTCATAAGATATACTTATTTTAAATAGTTACAAAGGAGCAGAGTTTCAATCATGCCATATGAGAACCTTGTCATGATTCTTCACTATATAAGTTTGTAATTTAAGGATTTGTGATGAAGAAATATCATTTACATAGAAAAATGGTGTAGCTTCCAGGTTATAAGATTTCAGGATCCTTAGAGGGCATCAGAGTTAACCTTCTAGCTCAAGTACTATGCCCTGTACGACATGTGGCAAGCTAGCCCCTGGCCGAACTGGAGAAGAGTTCATTATCTCAGGAGAGGTCCTTGTGGAACATGTGCCGTCTTCAACTGGACCATTGATTTCTTGATAAACTATGTTAGGTCATTGGCTAGACCTAAGGGTTCAATATTGGTGGAGGGAAAGAAGTGAAATTATTGAGGGGTTATTACATATTAGATTAGCATCTAATGTGAACCATTTTTTCCTTTAAAACAGTGGTAAATTATGGTTTCTGAAGTTAACTGTTCCTTTGGTTGATTGTGATGCGCGCTAATTAACCAGATACATTGTTGCATTTTCTCCCAGTTTTGTTTGGCTATGCCACCACAGTCATCCCTAGAGTGTATACATACTATGTTTCAACTGCATTATTTGCCATTTTTGGCATTAGAATGCTTCGGGAAGGTTTAAAGATGAGTCCAGATGAAGGTCAAGAGGAACTGGAAGAAGTTCAAGCAGAATTGAAGAAAAAAGATGAAGAAGTAAGTCATAGCACTGTTAAATATCTGGACCAAAAAGGCACTCGGCTATGAATAAACACCATCCAGAGGTTTTGCAGTGGTCCTCCATATCTGTGTGATACATGTAGGCTACACAAAAATAGCTTATTTTGCTTAGTTTTCATTCCTATACCTGACTGTGATATGACTCTGTCTAGATTAGTGTAAATGTGGTAGAGAAAGGATGTGGGGATGAATACTGAACATGTGTAATCAGGTTCCTTAATTAGATTTATTATAAGAAAAGCAGGAACTGTGGTTTATAATTTTACATATTTCTTCCCACAGCATCTAGGATAGCAAATGATCAGTAAATATTGTTTGGTTTATTTTATTTTTGTGAGGAGGACTAGCCCTGAGCGAACATCTGATGCCAATCCTCCCCTTTTTTCTGAGGAAGATTGGCCCTGAGCTAACATCCGTGCCCATCTTCCTCCACTTTATATGGGACGCCGCCACAGCATGGCTTAACAAGTGGTGCGTCAGTGCGCGCCCGGGATCTGAACCTGCGAACCCTGGGCCACTGCAGCGGGGCACGCGCGCTCAACCACTTGCGCCATTGGGCTGGCCCCCATTTGGTTTATTTTATTTGGGTGGAATGGAAGAATTGAGAATATAGCATTTGTTGCTATGTGAAACCAGTGGTTCAAAAGAGAAGTTTGAGGTTACATAACTTTAGTTTCTTGGAGCATATTCCATAGAATTTAAACACTTCTTAAAAGAAAGATTAAGTAATTTTGTCCTATTTTGATTTGCTTCCTGGGATTGTCTTTTTTTTCCTTTTTTTTAATTTAGTTTCAACGAACCAAACTCCTAAATGGACCAGGAGATGTTGAAACGGGTACAAGCACAACAATACCTCAGAAAAAGTGGCTGCATTTTATTTCACCCATCTTTGTTCAGGCTCTTACGTTAACATTCTTAGCAGAATGGGGTGATCGCTCTCAACTAACTACAATTGTTTTGGCAGCTCGAGAGGTGAGTGGTACTTGAGGGCCGACTGCTTCTGTATTAACTCAGCATAACTAATGCTCCTTTGCCCCAGAGGACACTAGGCAGAGTCAAGGTGGGCCAAGGGATTATTGCATATGCTAGACTATTTGTTTTAGATCTCATAATCCTGCTACTCTTTAAAGTTGACCTTCTTCCAGTTTCTACAGTCAGTCAGATAGTATTCCTGTGTCCAAACTTAATTGCTCTCTTTTGACTCTTCTTCCCTTCAGTTTGGCTGAAATGACGCTGTGGCAGTTGTTTTGGCTTAGTTCTCTTTCTTTTCTCAGAACTTTCATTTCTATACTTGCTGAGATATTATTATTAAAGGCCAGTTTGGCAATAAATGTAGCAAGACTTAAAGTGGATATCTTTGGGTTCTTCTGTTCCTTGTGCTGAAGAGACAGTTGACCGTTGCAAAGATTAATTAGAAAATTTAAGTCTTAGCCCCAGAATACTAAGACCTAGGACCATCTTGTTCTAGCCTTCGCTCTACAGATAAGGAATGTGAGGCCCAGAGAGACTGGATGACTTTTCCGAGGACATAAGTTAGTCAGAAACATGGGCAACGACTAGAGCCAGGGCTATCTGTTTCTAGCCTTTTCTACTATATTTTGTTCATAGTTGTCAAGTGCTACTTACATAAAAGATACCTGTTTTTAAAGAATTTTTATCTTTATTTCTCTTGCGGGGAATAGTCAAGTTTTACCTGAGGTGTCTTCTTTTTCACACATTTATTAAGCTTTACTGAGGAGATGGTAGAGGGATGGATGCTGCTGCTACTTTCCAGGCTCTTCTTGCTCTTAACCAATATTATTTCTTATCTGTTTCTATATCTATTAAATTATATTGTTTTTATCAGATGGTAAGATTTAGATAACAAGCTTGATTTGTATTTGTTTTTAACTCCTAGGAAATACCTACTATAAAAGCACAAGTTCCTTAACATAGGCTTCAGTTTAAAATATAAAACAAGAGTTGAACGCAAGGACTAAGATAGTTGAGGCAGGGCTGTTTTGTCAGAGAGGCCTCAAGAATGCTGTATTTTGGAGAAAATGGAACTCGAATTTTCATTCGATTACCATATTTTAAAAGAAACTATCTTTAAAAATGTCACTTTAATGGCCTTGGCCTATATTTTTCTTGAATTCTAGCCTTTTTTTTTTTGGCTTTCAGATTGCCAGCATTGGGACTTGAAAGTAAGTGAGCGTTGTGTTGTGGTGGTGGTGGTTCTGCCATGGTGAGCTATCATGATGGCAGAATCATTGCATTTTTCTTAATGCTATCATCTGAATGGCACAGAGTGACCCCTGAAAGGCTCAGGATTCCCTGTCTGTGAGTTACCTTGGTCCACTGCCTTCTAGCAGCACGGCGTACGCTGACTGGGTTTGAGTCTCTTGCGACGTGGCCACATGACTGCAGCACCTCCCTGTGGCCTCCTTCGTGGGTTTTTCTACGGATGAAACAAGATAATGCATGTAGGGCCCCTGATACAGTGAGCGTTCGGTGTTAGCCACCTTCAACACTGCCAGCACCTTGGGGATATGTAACGAGCTTTTCAAGGGCAGAAATACCGTTATCTATTTTTGTTCCCTTCACATACCTAATTTTTTTTTGGTAATTTTTTTGTATAAACGATACAGTAAGTCTAGTTCAATCCATTTTAGTCTGAACTTCGTTTCTGTTTCCAACATAATTGAGTGTTCCCACATTGGATTTCACAGAATCCTAGTGTCCTTTGAGATGTTCCTGGGTACAAAGCAAAAAAAGAAAAAGAAGAGAAGATTCCAGGGTCAAATAATATATCCTGGTTTTGTTTTGAAGGCTGAGTATACAAAATAACAAAGACTCTGAAAAGTCCTGCATTAAAGGAACTATTTAATTTTATTTAATCCAGTGATTTTTCAAGTACCACTTTTAAATAGAATGAAACCATCTTCTGGGATACCAGTTTTAGAAGTTACAATACACAAACAGAATTTGGGAAATATAGTCCCACTCTTTTGTTCTTCACAGCAGATGTTTCAAACTGTCCACTCTACAGCAAACAGCCCTACCTCCTACTTCACAGGGAGAAGCAGAAGGCATCTTTTCTTCATTCCCACCCATCACAGTGGCAGTCCTTTCCCTCCTGTATTCTGGATCCCAGCCCCCCATGCCTCCACTTCCAGGGTAAATCTTTGCGTTTCTCCCAGCCCAATTTTTTGAGCATTTTAGCATGCACAAGTTTTTCTCATCTAAAAATGTTTTACCCCTTCCTCAGTTCTACTTCCCTTCCAAATACAACCCTCTTCCTCGCCTTCCCCCAGTCTCAGAGGGCTTGGCTGTGATGGGAACAGGAGTTGGCTCTATTTTCTTGCTTACTAAACCCCCTGGATTCTAGTTTCTGACCTCACCGGTAATGTTGATAAGGTGCTGCAGCCATCAACAGGTCCCGCTGAGGTCATCTTGGGAAGCTAATTGCCTTGCCACCTTTTCAGTCTCCTTTGGGCTCCTTTTCCTCTGTCATCCCTTCAGTGTTGCTTTCCTCACGATTGTCTTGTCAGCATCCTCCTGCATTCTCTCCCAGGGTTATTTTATTCAGTCCCGCAGCTGATTCACCATTGAACTCAACTCACTCTTGGACTTCTCCACTTTTAACTCCTGTCGGCATCCACGAATCCTTTCTCCAGTGCTTTCTCTACCTTTCTAATCACGTTGGTATTACCATGATTCATCCACAGAATTATGGGTGAGAAACTTGGGTGTCATGCCTGATTTTTCTCTTTGATAACATCTATCATTCACGTATCACTAAGGTATCAGTTATGCCTCAGTTTCTCTCAGATCCATCTGCTTTTCTCTGCCTACAGTCTCCCATCCCAATCCAGGCCAACATTGTTTCTAACCAGGGCTATTGCAGTAGCCTCCCAACTGATCACCTCGCCTCCAGTTCATTCTCTACACTAGACTTTGAAGGCATAAATCTGTTCTGTCACTCCCCAGCAAAAAACCAACCAGTGTCTAAAAGTCTGTAAATTCTTAGCTAAGCTTACAGGGTCCTTTATCACCCAGCTCCCTGCTACCCTGATGGACTGCTCTCTAGAAATGCTGAAGTACTCTGTAGTTGTCTCTTACTGCTGGCTTGCTATCTACTAGTGTGTTCCCTCTCCCACAAAACAAAGTCAAATCCTCCTGCTCATTCTTCAGGGCTATCTTTTCTGGAAAACTTTCACTGGTTTTCCCAATCTGAGTACCTCTAGTTAGCTCTGGTAGTAAGTGTTTACTGAATGAATACTATGTTCCTGGGGCTGAGTTAAAGCACTGAGGATGCAGTGGAGAATAAGGCAGGCAAGGTCTCCATTCTTGGGAAGCATAGTCAGACTATACTGTAAAGGCTTAGTTTCCTCACAATATCAAATACTGCCTGAGGGAAGAGATGTCTAGGGTAAGTCTCCTTATCACTTGACACTTAAGAGCTAAATATTGCCTGTGAATTAAGTTTAAGAACTGCTGAAAGGCTGACTTAGGGTTTTTTTATTTGTGAGGAAGATCAGCCCTGAGCTAACATCCGATGCCAGTCCTCCTCTTTTTTTGCTGAGGAAGATTGGCCCTGGGCTAACATCCATGCCCATCCTCCTCTACTTTATATGGGATGCCGCCACAGCATGGCTTGACAAGCAGTGCATCAGTGCGCGCCTGGGATCAGAACCGGTGAACCCCGGGCCATTGAAGCGGAGCATGCACACTTAACCACTGCGCCACTGGGCCAGGGTTATTTTGATCTTATACATATTTGAGTTTTTTTCTACTTTTATCTGCAGTCCTAGGTATAAATTGGAACATATTCCTTCAAGCAGCTATTACACTTTTCATAAATTATACACCTGAATTTTTAGAACTGTTTTATACTTTTTTGTTCTTGTTGACCTCCATTTTCAGTGCTTAAAAGTTATCTTTCTCAGGTAGCAGTTTGTCTTGGTTTTAAATTAATGTTATACTTATTTCCAGGACCCCTATGGTGTGGCAGTGGGTGGAACAGTGGGACACTGCTTATGCACCGGATTGGCAGTAATTGGAGGAAGAATGATAGCACAAAAAATCTCTGTTAGAACTGGTAAGTTTTTCTTTTTTTAAATTACAATCATGTGCTGCATAACCACGTTTTGGTCAATGACTGACCACATATATAATGGTGGTCCCGTAGGATTAGTACCATAGAGCCTAGGTCTGTAGTAGGCTGTACCATCTAGGTTTGTGTAAGTGCACTCTATCATGTTCACACAACGATGAAATCGCCTGATGACGCATTTCTCAGAATGTATCCCCATCATTAAGCCACGCATGACTAACAAAGAAAATACCGTTTGTTTTAATTAAGCTTTTACTTCTGAAGTAGACTTGGTCTTTGTAATGATAATCTCTTAGAGGTTCAATGTATTGCCCCTACTACTGCAAACAGCCTGTTTCTCACATGTGTAGATGTTGGTAAAATACAGATTCATCAGAAAGCATTACTGGATTCATAGTAGCTTTTTGTCAACATATTTTAGTAAAAACATTATGTGGAAATATGATAATTCTTTGGCCTTAAAAATATGTCTTACAAGATGGGGAATCATAGGTGGAGACCATATTTACTGATTCTGCTGAAAATTTCCTATGTAGCTGGTAGGTCCTAAAAATGGAATAAAAACAGTCAAATTTGTTGAACATTCTCTTTAATTGAATTTTAAGATGTTATAGTTCCTTTGTTGGTTGTCAGCACTGTCATATAATTTTGTCATTTCTCAAAACAGTGCTGGAGAAGAAACTTATCCTTCCTGTTCAGAGTCAGGCATGTTAAGTGTTCTTTGCTGAGGAAATGGGGTTTAACTGTTTGTAACTTGTTTTTTAAGTTAGTTTATTAGATTGGAAAAATAATGGGCAATGTCTTGGCTCCCTCATAGAAGAATTTTGCCTTATTTAACCTTTTTCTCTTCTCTTACAGTGACAATCATAGGAGGCGTTGTATTTTTGGCGTTTGCATTTTCTGCACTATTTATAAGTCCTGATTCTGGTTTTTAACAAGCTATTTGTTCATTTGTATTTAAGATAGGTAACTCATGTCTTTATGTACATAGTGTACAGTATAACTAAAAGTGATGGAAAATACTGTATTTTGTAGCATTGATTTGCGAGTTTGACCCATTTAATGAAAGTATTATGTCCAAAAGAAATAATCATTGATTCTTTGCAACATGGATTTTTAAAAGAAAGCTGATGTCTAAGTGTGCAATTTTCTTTTCTTCAGTATAATTATGTTCATGTGGTCTCCGTTTTTTGAGGGATTTTTGGCTTTTTTAGGGGGTATATACAGAACCACTATGCGGTGGGGCCCACCACCTGATTTTCTTTCAGCACTGACCCTTTATGAGGAATCTAACTTTTCTCCTGGATCACTGATGTGTTTTAAGATGTTTACCTTAAAATTTTTCCTGGGAGAAGAATGAATGAATTTCTATCTATCTTTTAAAACATTTCCTCCAGCCAGTACGCAATAGTTTAATCAGAAGTCTTTTTAAAATTAGGTTCTTTGTTTAAAAAAAGAAAAAGAGCAAGAGAAATGTCTTAATGTTTTATATTAATTAATAACATGACAAGAATTGTTTGCCAGGTCCAGTCTTCATTTTTTTAATTGGGTAGGAAACCCAATATAAAAACAGTCAATATTTGACAATGGGGAATTACCAAATTAAAAGAGAATACTATGAGTGTATTCATATTTTTTCTATATTGAATAAACAATGTAACATAGATGATACAATATAAATAAAAGTGGTATGACCAGTGCTTGTTTTTCCTTGTGTGTTATACAAGATCATAGCTTTCTAATTTATCAAGGTAGTATTAAATACTTACAGACCAGTTTCTAAAGTTGATGCAAAAAACAGGAGCCAAGCATTGTTCTAAAGCACTGCCTTACTTAACTGTCACACAGTTGTATGAGGTACTAGATACTAATATAAGGTTTAAAAAAAAAAAAGGTTAATTTGCCCAAGGTTACGTGGTAGAGCAGGGAGTCAAACCAGTTTAATTCTAGAGCCCGTAATCATCATTATGGCAAGGCTACCTCATTTTATCATACCAACTTCAGTAATCACTGTCATTGAAGTCTATTCTGACTTGACTACTAACTAGATTCTATCCAAGCGGCATAACTGCTTTCTCCCAGCCTGGTATATTCTATTACCATATGCAGTAACACTGCCATTAATAGCCTGTTTACCCCAAAGGACAGTTTTCTGGAAACTCACTCCTGCTTGTTCCTTGTATGAGGTAAAATAGACACACAGCAATTCAGGTTTACAGAGCTACTTCAGACGGTCACAATGTATAGTAATTTGTAATTTGAAGAGCTTATGAAAGAACCTAGTTAATCACCCAGCACTGTAAATGCTGCAACGGTTCTGCAGTAGTAACTTTGTAGGAAAGACAGATAGATAACCACTATTGTGAAGAGATCCAAAAGTGGTTATCATCAGTTTAAAAGTAGCAGTAGCAAATATTGATGAAAAAGTCGTTTTTGGAAACTTCTAAGGAGTTCTCACCATAAAAAGTGTGTATTACAGGGTAGAAAAAAACAGTGTTTGTGAATTAAGATACAGCACTTCAAAGAAATTTCAGGTTAAATCCCCAGCCTACACCCTCATTCTCTGCAGTTAGATACCCCTAATACTGCCTTAGATTATTGTAAACAGAACAAGCAAGGAATTACGTTCTTTCTTTTCCAAGAACTGAAAGGATAAGTCCTTGTTAGAAAGTAGCTGGTACCATCACAGCCCAAACTTGGCACTGCAGGCAGCCAGTCCCAGTACTAGCTTATTTAATATGTGAATAACAGCATAGCTTTCTGAGGTACCATAGTCAGACCTAAGCTACAAGGTAAAAATCACTAATGCCGTTAGATTCCATTGCTGAATAAAAGAAAGGAAAATGTCATTGGTAGTGATTTTAAAACATTTAATAGTCTTGTCTTTAAAATCCAAAATAGTATGATTATTACAAGTTATGTGCCACGTAAAGCAGGTGTTATTTTTTGAGAAATGCAGGTGATACTGAAAAACATAGCACTGAGGTATTTTTTTATTTTTAAAATTGAATAAGGAAAGTCTGGATGTAATTATTTTTACATATATGAAAAAAACAATTCTACTGCTTGGCTCTTTTGCTGTAATTTTAGGTTCTGAATACATTACAAGAGTCTATCTATGGGAAAGAGCATTATAATAGCACGTGTAGTTTTAAAAAACTATGCACATCATAACCTGGAAAATGATCATACAGCAAGAGGCCTGAGTGGAGGTAGGCTAATAACACACTTTGCCTCTTCTCAAAGCATAGCTTTGAAAAACAACTGTAACCAGTTGTAACACCAAATTAAAATGGCAGTATTAAGTTAACAAAATGATCCACATTTTATACAATATTTTATTTCCAAACATAGCTCATGAAATTCAGCAGAGAACCTAATATAGCACCTATGAAACTATTCATTATCCCTGTATGCTTCTGTGCAGTTTAGGATTTGAGCTGAATACAATACCTGGAAAATGCCCATCTCCCTTTTGTAAATCAGTTTGGATTTCAATTAAATGTTTGCTTTAGGAGAAATAAGTATTCTTATCACAAGATCCATTAGCCATTTACAGCTCCACCCTTTTGGAAGTAAGAATTATAGGCTACATCTACTTTTTATTTAAAACCAAGAACCAAGCAGTAAGGTTGGCAATGTCAAGAGTAAGCAGCACACTAAGAACCACACAGAACGTTAGAAAGAATCTGGTCTGTGTTTTTACAGCTACCAACTGATGTTAACAATTAAAAATTTACAAAGATAAAACATTTTTTTGCACTAACTGGTTTCAATACAGCACTGAACTGAATTCTTGGGGCTTCAATCTTTACATAGAGTGTGCAGGTGCCATACTGAGGCCCTTCCTCAACTTACACCATAGTAAAATAGATTTCAAAATAATTCTAGAATGGTCTGACTTAGAGCTGTTCTGGCTGACATACCAAAAAAGAAAAAGGACATTTCCCAGCCAATTTTTTTTTTGCTTGATGAATGATTGTCTAGTTACATAGTATGTCAATCTGAAGATAATATAGCTTTTCCTACATTTAAACTGTTTAGTACTGGCATAACCATTGCCAGCAGTGAATTTGCACCAGTACAGGCCAACTCAAAAACACATTATAAAACATCTGAATGTCATTTTTAAAGCTATGTCACAGTTTGTTTCCTCAGAAATTTAAAAGCATACATTTGAAAACATCACATCTTCAATTTAACCCTCAGAGTTAAACATTTTTTACATTATTAAATCCAGCTTGTGGTTGACATGTTTTAATTACCATTCTCTAAAGTATCCCAAGAGCTAGACAGTGTGCCCTGTACCTGCCCTGTGGGACTCCAGGGCCACTCTGGGAGCCCTAAAAGTAGAGAATTCTGTTCCAATGCATACTAGCAAGAAGTATCCTCAAATTTCTAGGCTTCAGATGTTCAAACACTACTTTAACTGGACAGTGCTGTGTATGGAGGTTTGGTTTTGTTTTTAAAGGACCAAACAACATTATACTATATAAAGATAGCAAACATTTTTGTAGAAGAGTTTGCAGTGTGTATACGTTGTTCCACCTATATTTAGGACTTTAAATGGATTTTAATATGGATATGACAGTGACAGCCATCAGAAGATGCTGATCGTTTTACTAACGTTTCCCCAAATGGGCAAAACAGAGGCAATGTGTGCCACTGGTTCTGTCATACTGGCTTTTGGCTGTGTTGGGGAAGTAATCGTATAAAAAGTGCCCATAAAATAGAAAAGGCAACAAGTGAAACTAGAAAAAGGTTGGAGCTATAAGAAACAGATTTGAAAGGAGTTACTTTTATTCTTTCTTAAATGAGGAGACTAGGAGGGAACGGCAGGGGCATCTGGATTTGGGCCCTCCACTGCTGTCCCAAAGTAAAACACGTGGATTGCCCATGAAAAGTCGTCATGAGGACTAGAGACTGCACCCCAATAACAAGAGCCAGTTCTCTAAGTAGAAGATTACGAGGCAAAACAAAACAAACCACAAATTAAATGTGACACTGTGAAGTCACTTTGATGAGAAAACAGAACACAAAGATATTTAAAAATATAAATAAATACATTTAGCCATTTTTATTCAAGAAATCCAGAGAACTGCTTTCAAAGCAATTGCTTCTCTAAAACCATGTTCTAAATTCTTCCATAAATTCACTATTTTGATTGTCACTTAATGCAGCACCTCAGTGTTTGCTGGTGGTGGTGATGGAATTTCACTTAATAGTCTCTTCATAAACAAGATCCTATTTCACTAAAGACCTTTTCCCTAGGAAAACCCAAGCAGCTTACAAAATATTGTTAAATACTCAAAACAGAACCTGCAAAGTATTACTTTATTTAAGAAAAACAAGGAATGTAGTGTTAAATTATGACATGGGGAAAAATATGCAAAACACTCACATGGAAAGAAAGTTTTAATTTTTAAATATCCACGTTTGCTTAATTTCTTGTGAGCTGTTCAATACTGTTTTAAATATCCTGAATTAATAACTATACCAACAAAATTCATCCCCAGTGTTTCCACAAGACATTAAAATAAGACCAAATTATGTATTTTTTCCTTTCTTCAAGCAAAGTAGTCTTTTTCTCAGTATTTTGTGCAAAAATATTACAAGAGCAATTCAAATAGAAATGCTGAAATGACATGCCAACATTTCGGAGCACATTTAAAACACCCAGAATAATTCTTGAAATTACTGTATTCTAAAATATTACTACCAATCACTTTTAAGTTAGTTCTATACACCTATTCACACTGATGCAGTTTTCCTAGACCTCTGAAAATAAACAGGCTCATTGGTCTCTTTTGGTGTCCATACAATAGGCAAGATAGGTTTACAATAGTGTCTAAATGAACTAGGCATCTACAAATCTCTTGACTCCACCACATTCAAAACAAAAGTCAAAGTTCATTTGGCTACCTTGAAATCACTCCCATAAACCTACTATGGTTCACTGGATCTAAACATTTCTCAGAAATGTGTCATTTTTAAATTTCACCTAAGTGATGATTTGGGGATCCTTCAGAAATGGTAATGCTTAAGAAATAAACTTTATCAAAATGAATAATTGCAATAAAGTGCTTGTTACATTTCAGAATGATGCTTTTAGACTGTGGTATGTTGTTTTAAAAGTGTGCTATTCCTATATAAAGGATCCCCAGGCGTGAGAGTCGGGTCTTCTCACCTGTCTCAGAAAGCAGCAGCTCTATCTTTTGGTAGGCTGACAATAGGCACATTACCCATGCGGATGAGGCTATACTAGTGCTATGGCAAAAGGGGGAGTACATTAGAAAAGTGGGAGGCATGTGGAGGGTTCCTACTATATATTCATAGTTATATACAAATATATTAAATATGCTATAAAAATAGTCGACTCTTTTCCTTTGCAATTACTTCAGAAGCTCCTTTCAGAAGAATGCTCACCCAACCCAAACAAATTTAAAATGTTCTCTTTCTCCAGTCACTATTAAAATGGCAAGTCCCTTTGTGCTCTTTCTTTTCCACCATTTAAAAATTCCACTCCGTTTACTCCTGGCTAGACTCACTCAGCAATAGTAATATCCAGTGTTCAGACCTTCCAACACTGACTCCTGAGGGACTAAGAACAGGGTCACAGATACTGGAAAGGCAATAGACTTGAATGAGTTTTACACAAACGTTCATCAATGAACGATCACTAAAGAAATATAGAGGAAGAAAAAAGTAGAAATGAGCAATACTAGAGTAAAATGCTATTTGCATTCCATGTAAAAAAAGTTTACCTCAATGTAGTGGAAACATTTTAAAACACGCTGAGTAATATCCAGTTTAAAATAATTTTCACCTGTCTGTACTGCAGGCAAATAGAGAACTATTTTAAGGGGCCCCTTTCTAAGGCTTCTTGAACAAGGGTTCCTCTTCCCACACAATGCCCTTTACAGAGCTGCAGGCTGCGTTGCCCTTACCCAACCCAACCGCAGGCAGACTGCTTTAAGGCAATGGCCCATAACTACAGCACTAATGAAGAACCCAAACAGCATGGCCACTACTCTGCACTGAGGATTCTACAACAAACTAGCCAGTCACTGGCATCCTTTTATTACTAGTACATTCCAAAACCAGATTTAAGTGACAGAGCACAGGACTCAAATTATCCCCTCAATTTAGGACAGAGTTTGAAGACCGAACTGTAATATTTACTTACATGCTACCCCCATCCTCTGTAATTGCTTTTCCACCAGTATTTTCCACTCTAAAAACAGTGTCTAGGTTCTGCTTTGATACTACTCTCAGCGGCAACTTTATTAATCCTTGTAGTCCTCACGTAGTTGTTAAAACAACACTGACTCACCCAGTCCCACAGCAGTCTGAATCAAGATAACTAACATTTTTCCTTATCTTCAACAGTTTCTTACTTAAGAAGTGCCACCCAGAATAAAATGTTTTTTAGGGAAAACTGAGTATCTATGAGAGTAAAGCAGAGGGAAGATACGATTTTTAAGTAGCTGAAAGGTGTTCCTATTTGGTATTTTTTCATGACTTAGATTCAGGATTTTAATTAACAACTTTGGCTACAGAAATAAAGAACAGGCAAGTACTGAATCTTCATCAGAAGGCTCAAGTCCTGATTCATGGGGGAGGAGGCAGGGACAGCTTTGCAATCCAAGTTCAAGAGAAGCAGGAGGACAACAAAGTTAAAGAAGGAGCGAACAGGCAGTTGGTGCTGACTAGCTCCGCCAACACAACACTTGATACTGATAGCAAAGGAAAAGCAGCTAGCTGCTCCTTTAAAATTTTAGCAATCAATTCTAAGCAGGAAAAAAATGAGCTGTGAGGAACAACAGGAATTATAAAGCAAAAGTTGTCTAATTTTCTTTCCCAACTATTTGTGAGGATGGAAAATACTTGAAGGAACTGGTGGAGGAGAATGTGAATAAACGAACAGTCTACAGATTTGCCCTGTGACTTGTCTTACGCTTTGCCTTTGTTAACCTAAGTACACAGTACTCACGGTTCACCATCTTTCAGTATGGTACTTAGAGGATAAACCTTAATATAACAGTTCTTCCTATCGTTTGTTGGCTAAATCCAATCACTAGAAATCACCAATACATAAATGAGGCACAACTCAGATATATATGGAATGGCATGGTAATATTAAGAAAGGCCATTTGAAAGGGGAGAAAATTAATACTGTTGCCATATTCTACAACATAAATTTTGTCTATGTGTATGTATGCTCAAGTACACGCGTATTCTGACAACTATACTTGACATTCATGAGAAAGTCAGAAATCTCTTCTGGATGATCATTTAGCTAGAAGAGGAGCTCCTTGATATGTTAATTATTGATTGGTATCTAGTGACACTTCTTTTGTAGAAGGATAGGTACCAACTTTCTTTGGTTATTTTCTTTTTCAGCACTAATTTTCTAATTTAAGTGTGGCCAAGTGTGGTTTTCTACAGAAAGACAAAGTATATCCTTTAAGGATGACAGCAAAGCTGAGGACAGAAAAGTCTTAAGAACTGACTTAGAGTTCCTCTGACTCCTTCATCTAGTAATTCTATATTAGGTTATTTTCATTGCTCAAAACCTTTTCTGTTTAACAACCTCAATTCTGTTCCATATTGTCTTTTAAGGTTAATTTTGATTTTTTACAGTTTGCTGTCTTCTCTTTTCTCAGTAATAATTTTTGATATTTAATAAGATATTTTCCATTAATTTTCTTTTGCTCTATAGTTGTAAATTTAATTATTAGTACCATAAAATCTATAAAAATGCTTTTTTTATGTATGCAATTTCTGTTGGAATTTATTACCTTTAGAATGATATTGCCAAGTGAAATCTTAGTGCATCTTTAAAAAGCATGTGAGTTACAATATGCTAGTGTTGTAGTGAAGGCAAAGCCAATTCCTACCCCTCCTTGTTTCTTTGTAGGAATATCAAGATCATATTGAGCAAATATTTACTGGTAATTCTTAAGTGACTACTTAGCTTTAGAGGAAGATGCTGATTTAGGAAAACAATTTTGTGATCACACTAATGACTCTGATAGTGTTAGGATGTCATCTTTTATTTCTCAATTATTTGTACCTCCAGTCCAAGAGACTCAAAGCAGTCTTCATGGGACTAAGGAGAATAATAATGGCACTGACACCCACATGCTAATTAAAAATGTACTAAGGTTTCAAAACTGCTACTGAAACAGACAATGAGTTCAAGACGGTGAGTTATCACCTGAATCAAAATCAAGGCACTATGGGTTTTTTTTTCCCTCAAATAACCCTGAATCATTTCTGACTAAAAGAAGCATTGAAATTGTGAAAGATAATAAAAAGATTCCAACAAATCCTAAAAGTTAAAATTCCCACCAGTGAGAATGTTAAAAAGTGCCTAAAATGTTTTGTGTGCAAATTTTACTCCTATAACTGAAACATTCTTGAAATTACTTTCAGGCTTGTTGAAAACCATTTATATAACTATTTCCAACTACAAACTATATCAAAATAGGTCATCAAAACTCCCAACCATCTAAAATAAAGCAGTGCAAATCCTATTTTCAAACATAATTGAAAAATAATGAAATGAGGGATATATTTCTGAGTAACTTGAAAATCCTGTTGGTTCAATAATTTAACCTGAAAAAAAAATCCATTCCCAGCAGCACATTATACCTCACTGAACAAACTGTGACATCACAGCCAAAGTATGAACAAAAAAACTTGTGCCCCAGAAAAATGAATACAACACTATCGTTTCGTAAACAAAAGGGAAAACAGAGGATGCATTAGTTTGCACACGGCATCAGGATCTAAGGAAATGTACTCATACCTATGAGGAGCAGATAATGCTTTCATGCAGCATACAAAATGTTTTGCTTTCTCTCCTTTTATCCAGACATATACATAATATTTTTACAGCATCTGTACATAGAGAATTTGAATCCACACAACATTCTGAAATTCATTACTATTCCATCATTATCTGAAAAGGGAGAGGGGTGGGGAAGGGGGCCTACTGAGTCTACTGGACTGTCTTCATGGCATCATTGTAAGCAAACCTCTGCCATGGCAGTGGTGTGTCCTCTGTAACACTTGAAAACAGGCACAGAACCACTAAAAGTTACTAACAACAATGTTAGTGCCTTTCTGATTCACTGGAGGTCATGTTTCATAGCTGAGCTTCTAAACATTTGGCAATATACTCTTTTTCCATCAAAAAATATCTGGGCAAGTAAAACCCTGTCAGAATTGGCTATGGCCCTACGATCATCTCCTACTGGCTGGTATTTAATGTACATCTGTAGCACTAGGCAGCCTTTTCCCTGCTAACTAATCCCAGGACCTTGAACGCTCAACACTGCACCTCATGAAACTGCTGGAACTCTTCCTCCTATCCTCAGATCATCTGAGCAACTCCTTATGGGCCAACCCCTCCTCCCTTGAGGTCAGAGAGGAGGCACATGTGCTACTGAGGTTGAACCTTGGAAGGATCAGTCAAACTGTCAGTCCTGTGCCGACTCAGCTGCTGCTGTTGCTGAGACTGGTGTTGCTGGTGATGTGATTGAGGGAAAGTGCTCTGTTGTAGTGGAAATGCAGCAGAGAGGATAAGCTGAGTTGAGGGATTCCCATGGAGCAACCTAGAAGTCTAAAAAACAAATGGATTACACAACATTGCTTTACCCCCATGATCCTGTCTACATTAAGATTTACTCAAGTTTTCCACTCTCCATTGGGACAAAATCCTTAACTTCCACATAACTACATAATTTTTGCTTTCCCATTTAAAAATAATATTCTAGAAAATGCTTATGAGGTTTGCTCGGTTGGTTAGAGCAGCATTTTAGTGGCTGAGAATGTGGGCCCTGAGGTATACTGTCGGGTTCAAATTCTGGCTGCCCCGTTTACCAGATGTGTGACTTGGTCAAGCTATTTACTTCTCTGAGCCTCAGTGTCTTCATTTATAAAATAAGGATAATCGCAGTGCCTCCCATATTGGGTTTTTATGAATATTAAATATTAACATTATTATTATTTAAAAGTACCATAAAATGAGGGCAAAGTTAGAGACATAAGTCCTATATGTGGTGTAACAAAAAACCAAACTCAAACAAATAAAAAACACAGGATCTGAAGTCAGAAGCCCTGGATTTGAGTTTGGTCTGCCATTTAGTAGCTGTGTGACCTTGGGCAAGGTGTCAACTCCTGTGAGCCTCAGTTTCTTTCACCTAATTTCTACTTCTGGAGACACAAAGGAAAGTAGCCAAAAAGAAATGAATTTTTAAAATTAAAGTTCTTCCTCACTACTAACAATACAACTTGATGCAGGGCTCCTAATTTTAAACCGGAACTGTGATGGGTGATTTTTGCAAATGTATATGAAGGACACCTGCACACACACAAGGACAGATCCTTGAACCTTAAAGACCATTAAGCTTTGCCCAGGACCTGGAGAATCTTCTTTCTCTCTGTTACTAGGAAGAGTTTGTGTAAGATAAAAAGCTCATGATATTTATGAGCCTTACAGGGTTACAACAGAGGTACATTTGGAACTAGGTGTTATATAATCAGAAAAGCCAAATTGTGTATTTACTATCTACATATTAGTATATTTCTGAAGGGTATTCCAATCTTATTTCTTTAGGGGTCTCACGTCTTTGGAATAGTTTTTTTGAAGTAGGGGAGAAGAGAATGTTCATTGTTTTAAGGGCCCTTGTTCCCTGACAGACTTACAGAAGATTGAGATTTCAAGGCAAGTCCTCTCCTTTTTTAAGCTTTTGCTTAATTCTCATTAAATATATTTCCCCCAGATAATAGTTTATAACTGATAAATTCTTGTTATTAACTCATTTATAACAACAGCTAACCCAGTTATTAATGGCTTCAGTTAGGCTTAAGGTCTAAGGGACTGTATGATTCTCAGAAGATATTTAGGCAACTAACCTGTTTTAGTTTTCCACAACAGCAAGTGAAGAATTATATTTACACCAGAACACCGAGGGTGATAAATTAACACTGTATTTTTGCCCGAGTATGCAGTACAATACTGAATCTTCTAGTCATACCATATGTTGTATAACTCTAAAATAGATGATATGTGCGTGGCCTATATGGAATGGTCTTCAGCACAAATCTAGGCTAGCCTATGTTCAAAACTGCTTCTCCTAGGCCAGAAGGGAAAAAGCTGGATTTCCAGATGTCATAAGCTACTACTGTGCACCCACAGTGAGGGTACTGAGATTCAGAAATTTGTCCTGCTAATTTCCTTGCTGAGGATCCCTACCGAGATGTCTTTCTTCTGTATCCTTTAGATGAGCAGATCGTGCCTGATATACCCACCTGAGATCTGTTCTGCGTTTTGGTTAATCTGAGTGGCTATTACACTTATCAAGACAGTGGTTATAAATGGCAGCTAGTTATGTGCCTTATACTGTGCTCAGTGATTTACATGCATCTTTTACCCACGAGATATGAACTGTTAGTGCCTCCATATTATAGATGAGGAAAGTGAATTTTAGCAAGTTAAGTAACCTGCCAAAGGTCACACAGTATGTGGTGCAGCAGTGACTCAATCTCAGGGCAGCCTGACTTTAGAGCTCAAGTTCTTAACTATGACATATACTGTCTCCACAGTATTTCTCCTCTGATATTAATTTATAACCAAAAAATTATTATAAAATTCAACCCAACAAAATAATTTAAGATAATGCCTATAATTTTTTAAAAAATCCCTTTTGATACCCGGCCCTGTAGAGAGTAGAGTTTGATAGGCTGCTAGAGAAAGGAAGAGAAGAAAGAAAGGTGCCTTTGCTTGAATTCCAGAAACTCCAGCTGGAGAGAGCTCTACGCAAAGTGCCTTGAAATGGGCAGGAAGTAGCCACTTACTCTATCCAGCGGTTCAGATAATTGGGTATGTCCATGGCAAGGCTAAAAGTCTTCCAAAGACTGAACAAAGGAAGACAAAATAGCTAACTGAGACAAGCTTTCTGTCTTTATAGAAATTTAACTTGTACAATAAGCTTTTACGGATTTTTCAGATCATTTACAAAACTGTTCATTTAATGCCTGATTTCATTATATAAAAGTAAACAGGTTTGGGACAGCTTCCCCACAGGGAGAATTACCTGTAAAAATTGCTGTGGTGGCTGGGTCAGCTGAGCCTGAGATGGTTGCTGAACTGAAGTAAGCTGCTGTTCCTGGGAGCTTTGCTGCTGCTGCTGCTGCTGCTGCATGACTGACAACGTCTGTGACTGCTGTTGTGTAGCAAATGTGGGGTAGGCAGTCACTACCTGACCCATAAGCATAGCGCTAGGTACCATGACCGCCCCACAAGCCACAGGAGCAGTTACTAATTTGGTCACAAGTTGCTGACCTTGAGAAAATCTGTTAAGAAGAAAGAGAAGGGAAGTCAGAAGTACAAGGTATACATTATAAAAGGCAGTGGGCTGAATATCTCTCTAAGATAATACCCGATGATATTGCCAGTTTAGTTTTTTAAAAGCTGTGTGTTCCAATTTTGTTTCATGTTTTTAAAGATTCCCTTTGGGATACCAGTAAAACAAAAATGTATACAGCAAAATGAAATGATCACAAACAAAAAAACAAACTTTTTTTGGATATCCACATGCAAAAGAATGAAGTTGGACCCTTACTTTACACCATATACAAAAATTAACTCAAAATGGATTAAAGACCTAAACGTTAAGAGCTGAAACTATGAATCTCTTAGAAGAAAACACAGGGGAAAAGTTTCATGACATTGGATTGGGCACTGATTTTTTGGATACGACACTAAAAGCACAGACAACAAAAGAAACAATAGATTAATTGGACATCAAAACTAAAAACTTCTGTGCATCAAAGGACACTATCAATACAGTCGAAGGGCAACCCAAAGAATGGGAGAAAATATTTGCAAATCACTTGTGTGATAAGGGGTTAATAACTAGAACACATAAAGCAATCCTACAACTGAACAACAAACAATCTGAGTAAAAGATAGGCAAGGGTCTTGCATAGACATCTCTCCAAAGAAAGATGTACAAATGGCCAATAAACACATGAAAAGATGCTGAACATCACTAATCATTAGGAAAATGCAAATCACAAGCACAGTGAGACACCACTTCACACCCATCAGGATGTCTATTATCAAAAAAAACAAATAATAACCAGTGTTGTCGAGGATAGGGAGAAATCGGAACCCCTGTGCACTGCTAGTGGAAATGTAAAATAGTGTAGCTACTATGGAAAACGGTATGACAGTCCCTCAAAAAATTAAATATAGAATTACCATATGATCCAGCAATTCCACTTCTGGGTATATACTCAAAAGAATTGAAAGCAAGGACTCAAACAGATATTTGTACCCCTAGGTTCACAGCAGCATTATTTACAATAGCCAAAAGATGGATGTAGCCTAAGTGTCCACTGACAGATGAATGGATAAACAAAATGTGGCATATACATACAATGGAATATTAGTTAGCCTTAAAAAGGAATAAGATTCTGACACATACCACCACATGGATGAACCCTGAGGACGTTATGCCAAGTAAAAATAAACCAGACACAAAAGACATATATTGTATGATTTGATGTATATGAGGTATCCAGAGTAATCAAACTCATAAACTTATGTGCTTAGAAAGTAGAATGGTGGTTTCCAGGAGCTAGTGGGGAGGAGGAATGAGGAGTTACTGTTCAGTGGGTACAGAGTTTCAGTTTTGGAAGAAGAAAAGTTCTGCAGACAGATGGTGGTGACAGTCACAACGTTGTGAAGGTAGTCCACGCCAATGAACTGTACATGTAAAAATGGTTAACATGGTAAATTTTATGTTATGTATATATTACCACAATAAAAAAAGATTTTAAACCTGTTAAAAAGTATCAACTTTTTTCTTTTTATAAAATTACTAGGTACTTGGGAGTCAGATATATGTGGCACATGGTTCATTTTGCTAATCATGAATAAACTTAAAGCTATCATATGGGAATTTAAAATCTCTATGTTTATAGAAGATATTTATACTGCAAATTGTATCTTATAAACATAATTCGAAACTAAATGGATCCTATCAGTGAATAAAAGTACCCTCAATTTATAAATTCATCAATGCAGCATAGTACCCACTTTGTTAGAATTCACTAATATTCCCTCCTTCTCCACCTTCCTCCTCCTATTTTTTTAAATAACAGAACAACAACAAAAAATGGTGCCTCTTCACGGAACAATATTATTTCTATTTGCCTTTTCTGTGAGATGAAGTTAGTGTCTAACATTGGCCATTACAGTGAGGAAACTGAGAGATGACCTACTGTAGATGAAGCATGACATAACTGCAATTACAAACTGTTCAAAGTACTAACAATATTAAACTTAGTACAGACATACACTTCATTATTTATATGTTCCACAAGACAAAATAAATCTATTTTGAATCCATGCCAAATCTTGAAAATACTGTATTTTATATACTTTAGGAACAAATGCATTATTTAATACAAAAAATAAATATAGAAGAATAAAAAATTTACATATAAAGAAAGTCCAGAGAAACAAGTAACATTTACAAAGTGGCTTAGTTACAGAAGTGCTAAGTGCTAATTGCTCTGTAACCTTAAAAGAAATTAGTATCTGAATTGCCCAACAGCTTACTGGTAAAATGTAATGAGTATACTTCATCTATCTCTGGCACCAAAAGACATTCTTCAATCTACTTTTGCTTAACTCTCACTTATGTGGATTTGTACATACTGCTCCCTCTGCCTAGAATACCCTCCATACTCCCTGCCACACGCACACCCAAAGCCAAGCCCTTTAAGACTTAGGCCAAGTATCCTCTGTGATGCTCTCTCTGACCACATTCCTCTCTTTATCTGCTTGCCTCAACTCATAAAACTGATCACTTCCACCTTTCTAAAGACCTAGTAAGTATTTATCACACCACAAAATACTGACTTGTTTACCTTTCTACGGCTTTTACTAGTATGAGCTTTCCCTTGAGACACGGGATGTGCCAAACTCATCTAAGAAGGCACTCAAATGTTTGCTGATATAAACAGATGTCTACAAACAGTTGCTAAATTGCATCCCCCAAAATGCACATCAGCATTCTAGATTAATGGATTTTTCCTCAGGCTTTAAAACTAGTCCTCTACATTTCTATGGAGCACATTCATAATACTTCCTTCCAGAATGTCAGAGCTAAAAGTTGGACTTTTTAACCTGAAGGAACTGAGTTCCAAAGAGAAGCAACGAGTTCTCCCTGCTCTCACTGCCTCTGTGATCCTACAGCTTCTTTACTCTCGGGAAATTATTAATAGGATTTTAATAAAATCTATTACACAGTCTAATTCAACAGCAAAATTGTATTATAAAAGCAGCAGCCTACTTGTATTACAGTAAAATAAGTAAAAAATAAAATTTATTTAAGATAGAAGTTTTAAGACTATAAAGATCCTATATATGAAAACGGCATTTCTTCAAAAAATTTGCTTCTAAGTCAGCTTTTTGGACTTCCCACTAAAATAAGTCATAGATGGCTGTTTTTCTAGAATGGCCCATAAAGCTTAGTGTAGTTACGTTTAAGCACTTGAGCTTTGAAATCAGACACCCAGGCCTGGATTCAGAATCCCTTCTTCACTCCCTTAACTGCCTATAGGCCCCTGACCAAACTACTAAAAACTCACTTTTATCTGGGAAATAAAAGACCCTAATGCACATTTTTTTAAAAAATAAGGATTAAATGAGATAATATATCTCATTTATTACAGTACAGTACTTAAACTCAAGAAAGGTTTAGTCACTTCGATTCTGTAACATACATAAACCATGGTAGTATACATCCTAACCATTGTTACTACATGAAAACTCACCAGCATCTTTACTGAAATGATAAGTTTCACAGTGATACAAAGCCTGTCATAAAACTCATATAACAGTGTGTTGTAGAATTTGGATTCTACAATATTTGGTAGCACATTTTTGGACAGGCAACAAAATTTGTTGTTACTCTTTTATCATAAAATCCTTAAACAATGGATACAGTCTATGTTTTTATTTCAAATTCAAGAATGCTGGCTGGAGTGAGCAACAGACAAAAATAATGTTTTTAAAAATCAAATTATTATTTTTTAATCAATCAATTTATAACTTTGGAATGACTAATGAAATATGACAACTACCTTATCTGTCTGTCCTGAGTGAATGTAGTTACTGCAGCACTCTGGGTACTGTTTGGTGGCACACTAGATGGAATCTGGACCATGCTTCCGGCTGCCGGCTGAGAAATCACCATAGTGTTATACAGCGGGGCTGTAAGAGTGCTCTGTGTCTGACTAGGAAGAGATGTTTGTTGACTGTGCCCACTCAGTACATTTTGTTGACTCTGCTAGAAAAGAGAAGATTTTTACAAATAGATTAACTGAAAAAATTTATTCAGGAAGTGTGCTTCTACTATTCATCATGCTAACAATAGTTGACATGACACAAAAATAAGTGGCAGGACATAGCTGGGAGAAATCTAACCACAAAGGGATGACTTGTAGTAACTGAGAATGAATTAGTCTTCAATATCTTGCTGGAAGGTAAGCTATGACTTTAGAAAAGGAGCATGATCTTAATAGGGGTGATATAAAATAAACAGAGAATTTCTGTGAAATACCCAAAGTGAATGACTGACATTAGACATTTTTATATATTTCATTTGAAGTCTTGGGATTTACAGTCACAGATGTACACCAAAATTTCCTGGAATACTGATTAAAACCATCACTGCCCTAACAATATATTCTTCACATACGGTAACATGTTTCCTGGTCAGCCTCTTCTGCAAGTCAAGCCTCATACAGAAGTTGTCTATATGTTCATTTTAAATGAACTGCAAAATTTTTTAAATGTCCAAATATTGACACATTTAACATTCAACAATTTAACAATTTTGCACAAAATATTTTAATGGTCACTCTCAATATTATATTTTCTAATTATTAGTATCAAAGTTTTAAATACTGTATTGCTCAAGATAGAGCTTTATTTTTGTTTCAGCTATAGCATACATTTCAATCACTGAACACTCTATAGCCCACTGTGTTCGATAACATTACCTGACTTGATGTACTTTGTAAAGTCTGCTGTTGTATCATATGCTGAGTTGTGCCGATGTGCCCAGTATTCATTCCACTTTGAATCTGGTTAGCGTGAACAACCTGGCCTTGCATATTTATAGGTGCCAGTTGCTGGATGTTAGATGAATTTCCAGAAGAAAGTTGAACAGAACCAAAATTCAATCCAGGGGTTGATTGTTGTAAAAACATCTTTAAAAATAAACATTACATTAAAATGAACTTTGTAGATTAAGAACAAAGAAGAATGAGTGCATCAAAAAAAAAAAGAAAGCAAAACCAAGCTAAGAATTAAGTTTAAAAATCAAGTAACAAGAAGACAAAGTAATTCTGAATGAATAATTAGAAATAAATAATTACTGGATAAAACGTGAGACTTCATAGTTCTTCTTCTGGTTATCCCAACCCTAAAATGTTTCCATTTCAGAAAAAGTGTTATAAATTTTAAAACCTCTGCTTGCTTGAACATTGTTACATCAGCTAGCATTACCCTAAGTCAGTGCTACTCAAAGGTCTGTGGACTGGCAGCTCTGCATCACTTATCATAATTTACGGCATTAGATAGAAGTAGTTTTCACTTCAAGTTTCCCTTTACCAAAGTCCTAATACTCCTCTGACAGACATAACTTTAGAGTGGCCTGTTGGTTGACCAAATAAGACTAATATGAATCATACGTACTGGAATTTTATTAAAACAATGATTGATGATTGATTTATAAATTCTGTACATACATGTACCTAAAAGTCTATGTAAAATACCATTTTTATATTATGGATTTAAGCTCACTAAAAATTAGACTACTAAAAGATGACTCTAACCTGGAGAAACAAGGATGTTGATGTAAATACTCTCGGGAGTGAATTATCTTTAGAGACTGTAAATGCAGTCATAGTGAGTAGGTAACCAAAGAGTAGTCACTGAACTAAACTGATGAAATGTCTCTCTTGCATCTCACTTTTAATTAAGAAAAGTCAATCTCCCTAAGAAACCAATATGTGAATGGCATGCTTTGTTTGTGTTCGAATATAATAACTTACCTGCAGTCCTTGACCATGGACCATTTGAAGTTGTTCTTGGATTTTTCTTAGTTCTTCTTGTTGCCGATGAATATTTGCCTCTATCATCCGTGTCCGTTGCTCCAACTGGTCTTTCAGATGCTGCATGGCTCCCAATTGAGCTGAAAACTGAAACTGAAGTACCACGTATAGAAAAAGTGTAACGTATTTTAGAATCACTTATTCCTCATAACTGTGTAATGTGAAAAGTAAGCAGTATATCATGAGCTAAGAAGGTTATGCCAAGTATCAATGTATTGCCTCTCAGCTCCTAATTCACCCATCTTTGCTCAGCTTTGTGATGCTGGAGCTGCACCCTATAAATATTTCTCCTTTCTCAGCAGTCATCAACTTAGTCATGTCAGTAGATGGTGCTGGAGGGATACTGCAAAGGGAGGTGCTTATCTTTCTGGTTCTGGTGCTTTTCCTTGCTCTTATGCCAGTGGGTAGCTTCCTAGTGAGTCACATCAGCACCCCGGCAGGTGGCTTTGCAGCAAGTCTCACTGGCATCTTAGTGGACAACTCCCCAGCAAATTTCACTGGTACCTCAACAGGTGGCTTCCTGCTCTCCAATCCTAGTCTGTGGCACCTCAGAGAACTTCTCAACCATCCTGTGGCTACAGCCACACTTGCCACTTGAATCTCAGCCTGGCCTGGAGGAGGAGTTTAGGAGGGTCAGGGGAGTCTTCCAAGTTGTTCCTTCCTTGGGTCCTATCCCCTCTCACGGTTAGTGGCTGCTCTCTACATCTGTTATCCCTGTATTCTCCAGAATTCTCTTTACTTTTAGTAGTTAATCCCTGTTATCAGTTAATAATTTTTTATATTTCCCCTGTTCAAATTTCTGGTATGGCTTCTGACTTCTGACTGGATCTTGACTGATTACAAGTACACACTGGCATTAAAGACCTGAGCTCAGGGGGCCAGCCCGGTGGCGCAAGTGGTTAAGTGCTCGCACTCCGCTGTGGCGGCACAGGGTTAGCCGGTTCAGATCCCAGGCGCGCACCGACGCACCGCCTGTCAAGCCACGCTGTGGCGGCGTCCCATATAAAGTGGAGGAAGATGGGCGTGGATGTTAGCTCAGGGCCAGTCTTCCTCAGCAAAAAAAGAGGAGGATTGGCAGATGTTAGCTCAGGGCTGATCTTCCTCACCAAAAAAAAAAAAAAAAAAAGACCTGAGCTCATATTGTGGCTCTACCACTTGCTAGAACAAGTTACTTAACTTCATTTCTACCCTTTAACAAATGAAAAAGTAGCCTGCACCTAGAATTATTCATATCAATTCTGTCATCCCTAGAATGTCCTCTTTGTGCACATCATTAGAATGTTACAAAAATCTGACAGATAACCAACCATAATATTTTTACTCATATTTTCAACTGAAACTGTTCTCAGACAAGTACAAAACATAGGCTTTTAAAGACTAAGCAATTATGAACAAATGCATACGTGAATGAAAACATAAAGTTATTCTACTTCCAGGGTTTTCAATCTTACTTATTTCTCTATGTTTTACCTGAGTCACAAGCAGATTCTATTTACTACTGCTTAAAATTTAGTCACATTTGGTGATTCACCACTTAAGCCTATTCAGGCTCATTTAATTATTTCCATGAATATGGCACAAGATACAGTATTAAGAGCAGAAAGAATTTCCCTTTATTGGAAATCTGTCTTAATCTTAAAATAGTCTCCTACAATGAACTGCATCTAAACGTGAGAAATGCCCCCCAAAAGCTTTTTTACTCTAGCTTCAGCAGTTTGTCTTGAGGATACTGAATATTACTTTCCAAAACATACAACTCTGACTTCTGAAGTTGACAATAACCAGATCAATATCATACATTAGATTACACTAGGTGTGAGAAAATATTACAAATTTAGTACCTTAATTCCTTCATGCCTTTATTTTTTTAATTTTTATTTATTTATTTATTTTTTGTGAGGAAGACCAGCCCTGAGCTAATATCCGATGCTGATCCTCCTCTTGTTTTGCTGAGGAAGGTTGGTCCTGAGCTAACATCTGTGCTCATCTTCCTGGGAGGAAGATATGGGAGGCTCTATATGGGAGGCTGCCACAGCATGGCATGACAAGCGGTGTGTCGGTGTGCACCCAGGATCTGAACCTGCGAACCCTGGGCCACTGAAGCAGAGTGCACACACTTAACCACTTGCGCCACTGGGCCGGCCCCCATGCCTTTATTTTTTTTATTATTCAAAATGTTATATTTATGTCATACAAATATATTTTATCCTAACTAAAGTTATTTATATCTTTGGGTAAACATTACATTGTCACCACTTACAGGATTTCTATTAAGTACAAAAAAGAAAACAGAAACAAACACAGAAGGCAGAATAACAGGAAATAAAATCACAGACCTAAGAGGCAAAGTGTTTGGCTTTATCACTGAATGACATATGAGATGTGAATACTTATTAACATTTTTGACATAGTAGATATTATTTATTGCATGAAAATATCCCTTTAAAATGTTAAGAAATGCTTATTAAGTATCTTGAGATTAATAAACTAATAATACTGAAAGTATGTCTAAATGTTTACATAAAAATTCTGTTAACCTTCAGAATAAAAAGCATTTGAGGACTCAATGCTGATAAAAACTATGGCAACTACAGATAATATTTAATAATATGGTGCTGTTATAAACACCTTACATGATCATATGTTGCAAGCTAATGACATTTAGGTAATTTAGAGCATATTTGTACAAGTGTCATATAATAGCTATAATTACATATATATAATTTAAATAACAACCATATAAGATAAAGGTATTTATCTTATATGGTAAAAACCATGGTAAAAACAAAAGATTGTTTTTACCTATTTTTAACTATCATTATTTGAAATTAATATACTGTTAAGTCAAGGTATATTTAATGCCAAAAAACAGTCAGAAAATTTTAGATTATTTTTACCACTACTTAGTAGTATTTTTAATGTGTCTGAGGCACTGAATGAGTACAGAGTCATAAATTACAAGCTGGGAAGTTACAATCAAAAGTAACGTAGGGGGCTGGCCCCATGGCTTAGCGGTTGGGTGCGTGCGCTCCGCTACTGGCGACCCGGGTTCGGATCCTGGGCATGTACCGATGCACCGCTGTCTGGCCATGCTGAGGCGGCAACCCACATACAGCAACTAGAAGAATGTGCTATGACATACAACTATCTACTGGGGCTTTGGGGAGAAAAAGGGAAAAAAAAAAAAGGAGGAGGATTGGCAATAGATGTTAACTTAGGGCTGGTGTTCCTCGGCAAGGAGAGGAGGATTGGCATGGATGTTAGCTCAGGGCTGATCTTCCTCACAAAGAAAAAAAAAAAGTATTTAAGCCTCCTTTGGGACTCAGCTCAAGGAACAATTCTTGCAGAAAGTTTTCCTTCACTTCCTCAGGCTGCATTAAGGGGCCATCTAATGTGCTCACATATCAGCCTATATACCTTGAGCATAGACTATATAATATTGTATTGTAGTTATGTTGTTCCCTCGAGATGTAATAAAGTCTTTTAGCATAGATATTACATATTTATACTGCCAGCACCTGCAATACCTGATATATAACAAGGAACTCAATATATGAATGAATATATGAATAAAATTACTCAGTTCTTCCAACATCCATAAGAAGAACAAAATAAACAGCTATATTTCATCTTTAATATCTTTCTGTCCACAGAGTTTCTCAATAGGGGTATTATAGCATATTAAGCAGGATAATTCTTTGTTGTGCAAAACTGTCATGCATTCTGAAAGAGAATTAGCATCTCTGGCCCTTGCCTACTACGGGGTCAGTGGTACCCCACAATCACTGACAATCAAAAATATCCCCATATATTCTAAATGCCCAGAGTTGAGATTCACTGTATCTATAAGTATATATTTTTAAAAATCTTACTAGCTTAAAAATAATTTATCATTTAAAAATACTCAACTGAAACAAACAAAAAATACCTGGGACATGCCTTGTGGAATTGGTAAATTTGCAGCTTGAGACATCACTGGCTGTGTCAATGACTGACCAACAGACTGGGAATTTATGGACTAGAAGCAAAATAAAAAATAACACTGGAGTGATGATCATTCCCATACATGAGAACTTCCACCAGAAATATCACCATGGTATCTTTATAACTGGATTACAGTCTGCCTCATACGTTTTAAGCTGAGCACAGGCACTTCTCCCCCTCTACACTGGGAATGTCAGTTTACAGATAAACGCTATTTATCTTTTTATCTTCCAAGGCTTCTGCCACATTACCTTGCATGGGCTCTCAAATACAAGTAGACTGGACTCAACTGAAAGTGATTAGCATTTGAAATTAGATATAAAATAGCTCTAAATTATCAGCTTTTCATAAGTGAAAAATATCTGACATTTGACCTGAAAGATAATCAAAAGGATTGATATGTTGAACAACTACTTCTCAAAAAAGGAAAGATATTGAGTGTTATATATCAACAACTATCTTGATCTTTATAGAAAGGGATAATGAATCAATGAATTTCTGAAGATTTAGATGACTTTTCCCCTTTTAATATATCTTTATTCAGAAGAATACTAACTGAAGAGTTTACCTGACTACTAAACGATGACCTCCTTTGTGCCATCTTTTCATGAGTTGGTAAATGCTGTCTGGGAGGAGTGCTGGTATCCGTTGGGATCTTTGTTGGTGTTGCTGAGGTTAGTCAACAAAAACAGAATAGCATTAGTACTTTATAAAATACAGTTTTCAAAGATTAGTCTCAAAATGCATTTCAGTGAAAATTTTTCTAAATTCTTCAATAAAAGTGAAGTCTACGACAATGATTCATTTTAATGACTTCTTTTTTAACAATAAATATTTGAAATAGGAAAGCTTTAAATACAAAAATGTTTACTACATCTATAACTCAATAGTAAAAAACCTAATAACTCCATTAAGAAATGGCCTAAGGACTTGAATAGACATTTCTCCAAAAAAGACATATAAATGGCCAAGCAGTATATGAAAAAATGCTCCAAGTCACTAGTCATCAGCGGAATGCAAATCAAAACCAAAAAGATATCTCCTCACATCTGTCAGGATGGCTATTATCAAAAAAACAAAAGGTAAATGTTCACGAGAATGTAGAGCAACTGGAACCCTTGCACACTGTTGGTGGGGATACAAAATGGTGCAGCCACTGTGGAAAACAGTATAGAAGTTTCTCAAAAAATTAAAAATAGAACTACCATTAAGATCCAGCAATCCCACTTCTGGGTATTTATCCAAAAGAATTGAAATCAGGATCTTGAAGAGATATTAGCACTCCTACGTTCATTGCAGCACTACTCACAATGGCCAAGATATGAAAACAATCTAAACGTCTACTGACAGATGAATGGATAAACAAAATGTGGTATATACATACAGTGGAATACTATTCAACCTTAAAAAAAGAAGGAAATTCTGCAATACTCGACAACATGGATGAACCCTGAAGACACTATGCTAAGTGAAATAAGCCAATGACAGAAAGACAAGTACTGCATGACTCTATTATATAAGGTGTCTAAAATAGTGAAATTCATTGAATCAAAGAGTAGAACGGTGACTGATAAGAGCTGGGGGGAGGGGGAAATGGGGAGTTACTAACCAATGGGCGTGAAATTTCAGTTAAGGATGATGAACAAGGGGCCGGCCCCACAGCGTAGCAGTTATGCGTGCACACTCCCCTGTTGGTGGCCAGGGTTTGGATCCCGGGCACACATGGACACACTGCTTGTCAGGCCATGCTGTGACGGCATCCCACGTGAAGGGGAGGAAGATCGGCACAGATGTTAGCTCAGGGCCAGTCTTCCTCAGCCAAAAAAAAAAAAAAAAGAGGAGGATTGGCAGGGATGTTAGCTCAGGGCTGATCTTCCTGACAAAAAAAAAAAAGGATGATGAACAAGCTCTAGGGATCTGCTGTACAACTTTATACCTACAGTCAACAATAACGTATTATTTACAGTAACTTAAAAATTCAAGAGGGTAGATCTTTTTTTTTTTTTTTGTGAGGATGATCAGCCCTGTGCTAATATCTGCCAATCCTCCTCTTTTTTTTGCTGAGGAAGACTGGCCCTGTGCTAACATCCGTGCCCATCTTCCTCCACTTTATATGGGACGCCGCCACAGCATGGCTTGCCAAGTGGTGTGTCGGTGTGCGCCCGGGATCTGAACCGGTGAACCCCGGGCCACCACAGCAGAGAGCACACACTTAACTGCTTGTGCCACCGGGCCGGCACCCTCAAGAGGATAGATCTTATTTTAAGTGTCCTTACCACAATTAAATAAAATTTTTTAAAAAAGAGAGAAATAGCTATAACAGGAAAATTTTTTTCCTAAGATTTTTAGAAATCCTATGTTTAAACTCTTTGATGTTCTAGCCAGATGCTGAGAGTTCAAACAACTCCCTTTTTCCTTATTATATATAGTTTTAATACTCTAAGAAATACAAGTGCTAAACTCTTTAAAAAAAAGTTACTAATTTAATGACAATTATGCAAGTTTTTATAAAGGCAAGACACTAAAAAAAAACTTTCAAAAAGCAAGCTTAAAGAACACTTACTGGCTCTAGCAATAGAAAAGGAAAAAATAGTTTTGCTTTCTTTTTCAGGGATGATAAAAAACTTAACAATACCAACATTACTACCTACATATTTTATAGGTTACTTCATAAACTTCTTTACTAAATGTGAGCAATGTGCTTCTTGCTCCCTGTAAAGGTTAATACATTTCAGAAATGTAAAAACTTATCATTTTAAAGTAGTATGTAATGAAAAATGCTGATACCAGTAATACAAACAATTTAGAAGCACTCTCTCTAAAGGAAGTCTGCTTTCAAGCTCAGGTACTCACAGGAAGGGTCTGAGACTGCTGTGTGAGATGATTTTCTTGAACTCCGGGAGGATGCAGAAGGGGTTGGGCTGTGATCAAATCTTTCCAATGCCTCCTTGAGACTGACTGTGTTTATACGATTATCAGAGCCAGAATCTTGGGCCTAAGGAGACAGAGTAAAATAAATGTTTTCTTGTGCTTCACTTCAGAGATCCCAAATTAGCAATACTGCTTGCTAACCCCTTCTCCCCAAAATCAGTTTTTACCCATAACAAGGCAAAGGGACCTGTGTAATATTAGGTAAAGAAATGAACATTTATTTTTTATAGCCAGAAATTTTTGGCTTCATTCTCTATTTAAAGAAACAACAGATGCAAAAGAATGATGCTGGACTCTTACCTCATACCATACACAAAAATCAGCTCAAAATGGATCAAAGACCTAAACATAAGAGCTAAAACTATAAAACTTTTAGAAGAAAAGGGGAAAAGCATTATGACCGTGGATTGGGCAATGATTTCTTGGATATGACACTAAAAGCACAGGCATCAAAAGTGCATCAACAGACACTATGAATAGAGTAGAAAGGCAACCTATGGAATGGGAGAAAACATTTGCACATCATTTATCTGGTAAAGAATTAATACCCAGAATATATAAAGAACTTCTAAAACTCAATAGCAAAAAAAAAATCAACCAATTCAATTAAAAAATGGGCAAAGGTCTTGCACAGACATTAAAGGCCAATAAACACATGAAAAGATGCTCAACATCACTAATCATTAGGGAAATGCAAATCAACAGCACAGTGAGACACCACTTCATACCCATCAGGATGGCTATTATCAAAAAAACAGAAAATAATGTGTTGGTGAGGATACGGAAAAACTGGAACCCTTGTGCACTGCTAATGGGAATGTAAAATAGCGCACCTACTATAGAAAACATTATGACAGTTCCTCAAAAAATTAAATACATAGAATTCCCACATAATCCACCAATTCCATTTTTGGGTATATACTCAAAAGAATTAAAAGCAGGACTCAAACAGAAATTTGTACACTCATGTTCATAGCAGCATTATTCACAATAGCCAAAAGATGAATGCAACCCAAGTGTCCATCGACAGATGAATAAACAAAATGTGGTATATACATACAATGAAAGATTATTCAGCCTTAAAAAGGAAGGAAATTCTGACACATGCTACAACATGGAGGAACCTTGAGGACATTATGCCAAGTGAAATAAGCCAGTTACAATAGGACAAATACTGTATGATTCCATTTATATGAGATACCTATAGGGTCAAATTCATAGAGTCAGAAAGTAGATTGGTAGCTGCCAGGGGCTGGAGGAAGCAGGGAATAGAGAGTTACTGTTTAATGGGTAAAGAGTTTCAGTTTGGGAAGATGAAAAAATTCTGGTGATGGATAGTGGTGATGGTTGCACAACAGTGTGAACGTACTTAATGCCACTGAATTGTACACTTAAAATTGGTAAAAATGGTAAATGTTATGTTATGTTACATTTCACCACATTAAACAAAATTAAGTGTAAAAAAAAAAGAAACAACAGAATAAAGATGACACTTTATAGACAAGGTACTGCAAGCATCTTTGGAACTCAGCATTGGACTGCTGAAAATCTTCCTCTTCACTCCAACTCGGACCTTTCTCCAGAATTTCAATATCCATATGGATGATTCATCGAGTATCCTGTCCTGGCCTCTCAGCTTTCTAGGAACTCCTCATCTCCAATAACCTTTCTCCTCCACTCTACCTCAGTCATTCAAACTCTACACCTGTCATTACCAGATATTGTAGCACCTCTAAAAGCACAAATTAAATCCCACTTTAAACCATACTTGCCTATCCTATCCTTCCAGCTCACTTCTCAAGTGTTCCTTTGGAAACAATTATAGTCAACCACAAATGATCACCAACCTAAAATGGACACGCAACACTAGGCAGAAACATTAAGGTTTTGGGGTGGGCTCACTTTCCTCCTCTTCACAATTATTCTATATCTTTCCCATTGTTCTGAAACCTCTGTCTCCCTCTCTCTCAACTGATAGCTTTGCCTTATATAGATGAGAACACTTGCCACCACCAAATTTATAACTCTACCTGCTAATATTCCAGGTATACCAATATACTCATCTTCCCTTTCCTCCGCATTATGATAGAGGGAAGTGTCAAAGAGAGGGCTTACACAGGCCCTCCACATGCAGCAGTGAATGAGAAACAATTCTCTATTCTTATTCTAGGAAGCTACATAGAAAGGAGAACATATGTGTATACACACACATAAACAACATGATTTCGAAGTTACTTATACCAGAAAGGAAAAAAAAAGGGTGATGTGACACAATGCCTTACGTCCTGCACTCTCACCACTCTTCACACCCTACATTTTTGTCTCCATCTCCCACTGCTTCCCAGCTCCTAAAACCCTTCTGCCTGCCTTCAGTATCCACAATCAGCAAATTCTTCTGTATTCTCAACCTCATCTCTGAACATTCCTTCGCTGGCTTGCTCTAACTAAAACCCAGATCTCCCCAGAGGATACCACTTTCCTTGTAGGTCTCTTAAGTGGTGGCTGTTTTCTCTCATACAACCCTTAGAACCTCTGCTCAGGAAGTGGAATAGAAGTCCTCCTACTGCTCTTTTCAGAAAATTTTCCCTTCCTCCCAGCACTCACAACTTTGAATCTCACATTAGCACACCATGTAACTCACTATCTCTCTCATTGTTGCAGTCATCCACTGACCTTGTGGTCACTCCTAAGTACCTAAATTAAAATTTTCACTGCTGGCTTAGTATTACCCTCAATAATTCTTAATTCCAAGATTATAAATATTTACATATTCAACACCATGACATCTCTCTTGAAGGCCAAAGATCTTGACCTCCACCTCCTCACTCATTCATTCTCACAGTCTTACCCTAACCCTTGTCAATACCAGTAAGAATAAACCTTCCATTATCTAAATTTCAAACATCCTACTCTTTGACCACCATTTCCCTTATTTCCTACTCATTCTCTTTAATATCTCAACTCTAATAATCCTTTGGTAGAACCTAAAATACATTGATTCTACCATATTTTCACACTCACTCTTTCCCCTTTAGTTTTCTCTCCCCTCTTTACCCAGCTTAAATTCATGATTAATCATCATAACCACGCCCTTGCATATACCATCAACTCACTTGCTTGCGTCTCCCTTCACCACATTCCCTTAGAAAAATCCCAGTGCTGGTTAAACCCAATTTTTAACCTATTCCACATCTGTTCCTGCACAGCTGACCATGGTTGAAGAAACACAATATGGGGACTGGTTTCTCTCTAAATTAATGACCAAGAATCTCAAGTGGGTCCTTAATCCTGCCTGCCAAACAGACTAAAATTCCCTTGTCTGTTCACTTTCCTGCTCTCCTATAAAACCATTTAACACCTTCTCCTCTCTTCTCAAACTTCCAACTACTCCTCTCCTAACTTTACTCTTAGGTGGGAACTCTGTTCCTATTTTACTGAAGAGTACTGCAACAAGCTCACACTACTCTATCAACCTACCTACCAGCATCTGTACTCATACATTCTACCTTTCTTCATGTTACTACAGATCAGAGATCAGCAAACTTTTTCTGTAAGGGTCAGAGAGTCAATATTTTAGGCTTTGTGGGCCGTACGGGCTCTGTTGCAACTATGCAACTCTGCTGTTGTGGCACAAAAGCAGCCATAGGCAACAGTATATAAAGAATTGAGTGTGGCTGTGGAATTTGATATAATTTTCACGTGTCACCAAACATTATTCTTCTTTTAATTGTTTTCAATCACTTAAAAACATGTAAAAAACACCTCTAGCTTGCAGGTGTTACAAAAGCAGGCAGAGGGCCAGATCTGGCCTAAAGGCCATAGTTTGCCAACCTCTGCTACTTTTGAATAATCTGTGCCCCTTAAACCCAATCCGTCCACTTGTGGACTAGATCCTATTCTTGTCTCACCAACTCAAGCACCTTGCGCCAGCATTTCTACCTCTCTCTGTCCTATCACCAATTGTTCTATCTCCATCAGACCATTCCCACCAATATACAAACATGCTATTATTTCTCCCACCTTAAAAAGCAAGTACTTCTTTTAAGCCCACTTATTCTTCCTACTGCTGTCCTATTTCTCTCCTCTCGTAGTAAAACTCCTTACTACTGTCTCTAATTCTCCTTGTCCCAGAAAATTCTCTTTTAAACCCACTCTAATCAGGCTTTCATCCATATTACCATTCCACCCAATCTGTTCTTACTGATCAATGAATATATGCTGTTACATTTAATGCTCAATTCTTAGTGCTCATCTAATTTAACTTATTTCAGCTGAATCTGACAAAGCTGACTATTCACTCCTCACTAACACACTTTCCTTTCTTGGCTTCTAGGACAGCTTAGTTTCCTGGTTTTACTTCTCCCTCACTGGATATTTCCCCTTATCTCCTTTGTGATTGGTTCTTCCCAGTTTCCCTAATCTCTTGATGATGGAGTGCCCCAGTGCTTAGTCCTTGCTCATGTTCTCTCTCTACACTCATTCCCTTGATGATCACATTTAGATTCATGATTTTCAAACCATCCACATATTGAAGTTTCTCAAAAACATATCTCAAATGGACCTCTTTCCTAAACTCCAGGAGGATCATGGTGGTAACAGTAAACATGGTGAGAAAGCAGACATAGTTGGAGTATATTTTGGAAGTAGGGCTAGTTGAATTTACTAGGACTGGATACTGGCGTGAGGGAAAAAGAAGCAGCAAGGAGGAATAATCTCTATATACTTCAGTTTCTATAATGGTCTTCATTTCAAGGAACCCTAAATTTAAGCATTTTCCCAGAAAATTTCTTTTACTAAAACATACTGCATCTTCTTCCTCTAAGCATACAAATCCTCTCTGGAAAAACTCTTTCACATGGGATCCATGAGAGCAGAGAATTTGTCTGTATTATTCACTGCTGTATTCTCAGCCTCTAGAGCCACATCCAGTACTTCCTGGCACATGGAACATACTTAATAAGGTTTGTTGAATGACTGAACAATATCCCCCATATTGTCCCTGGCATGCTGCCTATTTAACTCACTTTTTATACAGATTGACTCTTTTCATTCCACTTATTTTCCACATGTCAAAAATACCTGTCATAGGCAACTTCTAACATGGCTCACAATGATTTCCGCCTCCTGCTATAACCTTATATAATCCCTCCCCTTTAGTGTAGGGTGGACCTAGTGGTTTGCTTCTAATGAAAAGAATAGACAAAAGTGATGGGATATCACTTCTGTGATTAGGTTACAAAAGACTCTGGCTTTTATCTTGCTGGTTTTTTCTCTCCCTGAATCTTCCTGCATACTTGCTATGATGGAAAGGGCCACGTGGAAAGGAACTGAGGGTCGCCTCTGACAATCAATCAGCAAGGAACCAAGGCCCTTAGTCCAACTGCCCAAGAGGAACCCGATCCTTCTAACAACCATTGAGTAAGCTTGGAAACCGATTCTGCCCCAGTTGAACCTTGAGATGACTGTGGCCCCCACAGACACCTTGATTACAGCCTTGTGAGAGACCCTGGGCTGACACCTTGACCTCATGACCAATTCTGAAGCAGAGGGTCCAACTAAACTGTGCCTGGATTCTTGACCCACAGAAACTATGAGATAATAAATGTGTGTTATTTTACATCAAGTTTTGTTACACAGTAATAGGTAACTAATACACTACACTTCTACCTGACATAATGAAAAGAGAAACCAGAGTTCAAATTCTGACTATTAACTTCCCAGTCATGTGTCTTTAGGGGAGGTGTTTTTTTCCCCCCTTAAAGCCTCAGTTTCAGTATTTTCAAAGCGGGGATTTTAGGTAAATCTGAGATGATACACGTCTCTCACCCAATTACCATTAAACGCAGGGCCTTCAAATCTTTTTTCAGAAGCAGATGAAGTTTTAAAATATTAAGTTTAAAATAAAAATAAATAGTAAACTATAATTATAACCCTGTCACAAGTGAGGAAATGAAATATTTGGAAAATAATTTTCCTATCCATTACTGGGTCTTATCTTTCATTGGGAAGAAATTAAATAATTTTTTAAAAACTATAAGATACTTACTTTGTCAGCAGCTGTCTCAGGAAGAGACTCTTCAATGCCAAGTTCTCGTCGTCTTTCAGCCCTAACTTCTGCATAACTACAAATGGAAGAAAATAGAATTTTAGTGTTTCATCATTCATTTAAAATACTGCAGAGGTGCAATCATTCAGTGTTTGTTATGTATCTTTTTGTTCATCACTAATGCCAGACTATTTTCTATGCACTACACAAACCTAAAACATATCTATAGTGTACTACATTAATTCAAATTGCAATTTTCTAGGTATCTCAAAAGTTTTATATGCTACTGTAAATGATCCATAACTACCCAGTCTTTACATTAAGAGGAATTAAATAAAGGAAGAGCATGCTTATCTACTCCAGTTTTCCTTTTACATGATTGACTTTGGTACATAAAAGCCAGTTACAACTTTTGATCTAACCCATAAAATTTATGTCAAGAATTATATATCTATATATATCTGTATTCTATTTCTATATAATGCCTGTAAGTAAATTTAATATTATATTGAAAATATATACCAAAATGAGGGAAAAAATCACTTTGCAGTTCATTAAAATGTCATGCATAAAAATTACACTGCCAAAATCATTACGGATGGTTCTATAATTCAGAAATTCTATAAAAGAATTATTACCTTACTACAGTGTGAGTACAAACAATAAACTCTGGCCTTGAATTCCACTGATGATAAGTGATATAATAATGAGTTTGAAGCCAAATCCACTGTTGTCCTTTGGTCAGGAACCTATAATAACATGATTTGCCTTTCCCGTATTGCATTACTAAGAAAAGAGAAAAATGTTTTTTTGATTCATATTATTAGTTATGAATCTATTTTTTAGCCAAAACTATCATTTACATTTAAATTTATATATATAATTCTTCTTCTGGCTTTTCAATAACATATATATCAATTATAAGAAAATGCTTTTCTAAAGAGATAGCTTAAGGTCCCAAGCAATTAACATATCTTCCACAGTGCCCAATTTATAGTCTGTTATTGCCAATCTTAGATACTTTTCATATACAATAAATTTCCAAATACTCAAGATTATTCACTTATTGACTTCCTGCTGCCAAGATATACTGAGGATAACAGCGATAAGTAATCACACCTGAGTTTTTTTTCCCCCCACAGATACCCTGGCAAGTACAGCATCTTTGAGGCATTTAACTCTACACTTTAACCAAAATCAGAATAACTTAATTGTTTGAAGTAACTGATAAGTACAGTAATTCTCAAAACGTTCTCTGTAGATTGTAAGTTCTGAAGCCTTTTAACAGACATTAAGCAAAAAGTAGGTTTTGTGGTTAAATTAATTTGGGAAACTTTGTTAAATAGGTTTATTTAGTCTTCTCAAAACCTCAAGTATGCTAATGCATGTCAAGATTCTGGGAGTAGAGGGGTGGGGATTGATTATGAAGTGTTTCCCAGTCTCCCTTGACCATAAAATCTGTTTTTAATAGATTGGCATTTAGTGGAACAAACCTTAGGAGATGCTGGTCAGGAATCTCGCGCTCTCTCTCACTTGTAATGACGAAATCAAGGTCTACAAAATTTAAACTGCTTGTCCAAAATTACGCAGCTGGTTAACAGAAGTGTCAGATCTTTTCAATACATCACGGAGCTTAGTGCCCACATGACCTGGAGTGAATAATGTTTTCTTTGGTGCTGAAATGACTTTACTCTGAAAATCTTCCATATAGTTGATGCTATTATATAACATGTTTTATTTTCATATAAAGGGGTTTATTAGACCAGTCTAAGACATCATGAAAGTATCTTAAATATCTAATTAAGCTTTAGAGGGCACCCAAGAGGGCAGAATTTTGGGAGGAGGATCAGAGAAGCAAATAAAACCTATCATTAAAACCAACTTCTGAAGCAAAGCATGAATAGCATGTGGTAAAAAGGTAGGTCTAGACTCTAATCCTGTCTCTGCCACCAATGAGTCACAGGATTGTGAGTAAATTACTTAGCCTTACTGTGTCTCGGTTTACTCATAGAGATAATAACAGTATCTACTTTCTTTCTAGAACTGTGGTGATGAATAATGGAGATAATGTATGTAAACTGTTTAGAATAGTGCAAGCACAATGAGGCGATAATGTTTCTGCTACTAATAACAATAACAGTAGGTAACATTAAGCACTGACTATGAGCTTTCTAAAAGAGATTCTCTAAATGTGTACCTACCTCCTGGGGAGACTTGCATGCCTGGAAATTAAAATGTATGAAATAGTGTTCTAATATTTTGACATACTATTACAATTTTCAGAGGAATCTACTTCTTTTACTCCAGATATAGAGCTAATAGACTTCAGAACTAGGTTTACTAGATGCTATACTATAAAACTGTACTTCCTATTATAGACTGCAATGTGTAAAACAGAAAGAACTTTAATTTAAACTTGATCTAGGATTTCTCCTGGATTGGTTATACATATCAAGTAAAATCTTCTAGTATATTTCAAAAATACAAAAATGGTTATAAGTCTGTATTTACCACCTTCTATTAATACAATAGTTATTTACATAATTAAAAACAGTTATTATCACCAGAAATAATAAAGTCTACTTACAGTGCTCATGACATTTTGCCAAATTTTCTAGGTCATCCACATGATAGTAATCATAGCCTGACGTTCCCAGAACTTCAAATGGCAAATATCCTATTATGGGTGGTGCCCTAAATTACATATAAAATAATCAATATTATAACTTATTCCATAATAAGAAATACTCCAACTAGAAATCAATTTTGGGGGGAACCTTTATCTTTTGAAAAATGGATAATGGATTTGAACATCCTGATTAGAAAGTTTGTCCATGAAATCCATTAATTTCAAGAATTATATAATATGACAATTACTTTTTATGAAACTTAAAAATAGTTACCTGTGATCTAGAAATAGGAACTTCCATTCTAAACTATGTCTAGATGTAAACTCTTCATTAGGTTCTTCAACAGTGCACATTTCCTACAAATAAATTAATAATTAAAATTTAGAAATACTTTTCTGTGTCCTTAGAAGAATCCTAAATATTGTTAGCTATAAAAGTCATTATTAGATAACTTTTCCCTAAACAATTTAACACATTTTTATTTTCTGGTACTAAAGAATAAAAGTACTAAATAATAAGTAAATAAATAAGGCAATAAATATATGTAGGCTTCCGGGGGAGGACTTCTCACTCTACGTATTTCTCTATTCTCTACATGCCTACAAACCCTATTCTGAATTCAGATCTCTCTCCTGAATTACAGTTCTACATTTCCAACTGTCTGGATGTCCCCACACATCACAAAGTCCATATGTCCTATAATGAACTATCTGCCTTACTCCCCATACCCAGTTAACACAGTTTTCCATCTCATTAATGGAGGCATACCTGTGTTGTGCCATTAGTCTAGAAATCTGATAGTCACAACACACTCTTTCATTTTCACTTTCACCATCTAAATGGCCACTACTAAATTCTTTCAATTTCACCTTCTAAGTTTTTAAAAAAAATCTATTCGCTCCCTTCCATCTTCACGGTCTTAATTTAGACTCTAGACCCTTGCCATCATTGGCTCACATTATTGCCACAGCGTCTCCCCCAACAAGTCTCCCTGTCCTTCAAATTCGTCTTCTGTTCTGGCCATAATTATTTTACTAACACCCAAATATGATTATATAACTTCCCTGCTTAAAAACCTTAATGTTTTCTCATTAAGATAAAGTTTAAATTCTTCAGCACGGAGACACAAACAACAAAGAAGAAACAGTTCATTTCCGGCCTCTGCTTACTTTTCTAACCTCGTCTCCCACCATCCCTACCCACTCCTCACATAGTAACCCTAGACTCTAGTCAAACTCAACAATGAATTCCAATCTGCCTCTGTGTCCTTGAATGACCTTCTGTAGCACAATGTAGTGATTAAGAGCTTGGGCTTTGAGAGAAAAAGAATTAGAATCAATCCCAGTTCTACCACTTAATAGCTGTGACTTTGGGCCAGTAACTTAACTCCCCTAAGCCCCAGTTTTCTTATAATATAAAATAAGATCATACTAGCATCTATCTTATAGGGTTGTTACAAGAATTAAATGAGATAATGCACTTAAAGTATACAGCACGTAGTAAGCACTCAATAAATGTTAGCCACTGCTATTATTTCCTAAGAGCAAAACAAGCAGAGTGAGACTGCTTTAAGATCCACTAACTTCTAATTCACTACTTTGTCCTATAATATGGTGTCTCCCTAAAATTTAAAATCTTAGCCTGACTTATTTCCAGCCACTTTCTAGAGGTTAAATGCTTTCATTTTCCCACCTCCCTACTGATCATCTGCTTGTTGGGCCCAGGAAATAAAAATAAATTATTTAATTGAATTTTTTAAATGAAAAGGTAAATTATATGCAGTAAAAAAGCCACTTGTATATTTCAAAAGAAAATTTCAAAAACAACCTTTTAAAATTACCTAGATTTTTGGCCTTTCCCCTTTAATGTAAATTGTTTACTATACAAAGAAGCACCCTAAAATTTTGCACAAAAGCAGGACAATGGTGATATATAACCACTGGTTGATGGCAAAGGATATATATTTAAAAATTAATTATATAATTTAATGAGTGCCTTCATAACTCATTATTTGCTTCCAAATTATCATAATCACGTATATTTAATAACTCCTGGCCATTACTACTTCAAAGTTTGCAGGAAGTTTCAGTTATTCTGGAAACAACAAAAATAAAGATAGTTTTCATACTATGAAGTGAAATCTCCTTTAGGAAATAAAATTAGAAACATACCTTGATGAACTGAGGGGTAGCTAATCTGACAGTAGCTACAAAACAAACTCTATCTTCATAAGAAGGCCTATGTGTGCGTTGGATAGTTCCTTCAAAACCATTGTGTGCTGAGGTGGATACTAAAACAGTAAGGAAATATGAATCATCAGTTACTCCAGGAAAATCCAGTTTTTACTGATGTTCAGATATCTATGTCTTTAAGAACTTAAAAGAATACTAAGTTAAGAATACATTGTAAGAGAAGCATTTTTACTCACCACTGTTTAAAGATTTGAAATTTCCTATAAATTTCACATATTCATAAGTAGACAGCTCCTTTGGGTCTATTGTTCCTCGAAGCATATGACAACAGAATTCTAACTGATTTTTTGCTGAAATAAGAGAAAAAATATGATATATTTGTGATTTATCACAATAAATGATCTATCACATAAAATAAGATTATAAGAGCTGTATAAGTTTACAATCACAATCATCATTTTCTCCAACAGACATCCTCAATGACATTTTATTTAGTCCATAAGAGTACTTTTAGGAGATGATCTCACCTTGTCCTTAATAGAGAAAACAAATCTTCTGATATAAGCAACTCCATATTTCCCCATTTTTATGTGTCCTTCCTTCTCATTCTTCACTCTGATTTCAAAGAAAGGTTTTGCTTCCCATTCTAAAGCTAACGCTTCTAGTTCTACCTTGAATAGTGTCTTTCCTATCTTCTCTAGGACCAGGGCCACACCACTGTTATTCATTCCCTTAGCATCCACACATTCTCTTCTTTGGATGCTCACTTTCTACTTTTAAATTTGTTCAGGTCTTTCCATCTCAAACGAATAAAGGGTTTTTCATGCTACTCTTTTTAGTATCACAGATCTCCTTCCTTTTCATTACGTGCTCTAGTTTCCATATATTCATTTCACTTAACTTCATGCACTGTGGATTTCATCCTCACATCTCGACAGAAACTGCTCTTCTAAAGATCACCAACATTTATATTATTAACTTCAATGGTCTTTCCTGTTTCTACCTCTTCTTAAAACTCATATGTCTTCATTCCCATAGCATGAAATCTGCCTTCCTTACTATTTCTATCTCTTCTGCTAATCAGTCTTCAAACCATGAGTATTCACAAAAATTCATTTGATCTTTATCTTCTACTATCTTTCATAAACTTATTGGCATTGGTAAACTTATTTATTCCTAAATCTCTCCCCCCAACTCTAATATTCTATATAAGACAAAGTCTTTTATCACTATTTGCTTTCAGGACATTTCTACTTGATTGTCCCATCAGTAACTTAAACTCAAAATATTTGAATTTATCCCTTTTTCTTCCTAAGCCAGCTGCCCTTCCCCTTTGTCCTATGTGTGCTTATCTCCTAAGTTAGAAACCTTATCAATTTGGTTTCTTCTCTTCCTATCACGAACCCCAAAACCAGTCTATCACCAGGACCTGCTATTTATTTTACCAAGAAAGCTCTCATTTTTTTCCAACTGAGCATCCAGTACCACCAGTTTAGTAAAGACATACATTACCTTGCATCTAGGTAACTGCAAAAATGTATTCTTTACGCCTGAACACTCTTGCCACTTGGATTCAAAGCTGCCTGCTACTCTTAGACTAATATTACTTTCATCATTATTATTTCAGCAATCAAGGACCAGTAACACCTCTCTTTGCTCACAGCATCAAACTCATACTCTCCTGTCATTATCACAAATAGCTTTATCATCAAACTCAACAGGTTCAAAATCTAACTACCTTCTTCCTAAAATCTTCCCCACTGATCATCCCTAGCCACTCTGTCACCTGTGCCTAACACCAAGTCCTATTGAGTTTATCTGCTCAACACTCATATACATACCTTCGTTTCCATCCTTACTTCTACTGCTTTCCTCTTCATCTTTTCTTGTATTGCTATATTTTTTATCTCCAGTCTGGTCCTTTTCAAAATTGTCCACTTGAGAGCTTTTTTTTCAAACCACAACCACCCAAATCCCCTTTCACTGGCTCCTCATTATGTAAAAAATCAAACTCTTTAGGACAAAATATTAGGCCCTATTTCCTTCTCTAGACACAAATCACACCACCTGTACCACCTCACCTTCATTACGGCCCAAATGACCTACCTGCAGAATCCTGACTTTCCCAAGCAATTTCCCCTCTGTTTTAAATCATGTGTACTCCTTTGGCATGAAATACTTTTTTTCTGGGGAAATAACTTTTTGTATATCAGTTGTTTAACTAGGGGGTCAGCAAGTCATTTAATTAAGGCATTTTCTATCAATAAGTATTGTTGCCATCCACACCTCTGATCTTAGAAGCAGAAGCCTAAGGTCTTTCATTCAGTTCCCCAGGCAATTCTGCCCTTATGAAGGTCTCTAAAGCAGACTTTCTCCTTTGTCCACCTCTTGCTACGTTCCAGGATTCCACCTTTCTAATTCTTTTCTCCTCGCTCTATATAGTTACCTCAAGCAATGTCATTCAATCCATGACTTCAAATACCATTTGTAGGCATATAACTGGCCTCTACATCAATATATCCAGCCCAAATCTTTCTCTTAGGTGAAAGACTAGAGTGGTCTATTTGTCAATGTGATAAGAACTTGATTTTAAAACAATTAAAAATAGGCTTCGAATGGATTCTGTCTCTAGTTCTTCTCAACTCCTTCTGACAGGCTATCCACGCTTATCAAAGATATACATTCATACATACTTACACGTATATGTACATGAACGTGTGTATCTTTTATATATGTGTATCTAAATTCTTGGACAGTTACTGTGCTATAGAATTTGAGGGTTCAAAACACAAAGGTCCTTTAAAATGATTTATGTCATTATTACCAGAAAAGTCAAAATTTAAAAATCATTAAAATAGTCATTAAAGAAGATATTTAATAACTAATGGCCAAATACAGTGTTGTAATTTCAGATTTCACACAGGGTAATTTAGTGAAGAAAATTAAGTATTCTGGTCAAATTAATTTGTCCAATGAATCCAGGAGAAATGTCCGGTTATACCATATTTTGCACTTTTTAAAGGCAGGGACTATTTTTCACTATTCTTGGCACTTTTATTATACAGCACCAGTGCCTGGCACATTACATACATCCAATAAATGATTGTTTAATTCTGTTTAATTAATAAGGCAAACGATTTCTTTTATTTAATAATTTAAAAAAATACACAAGTTTTTTTTTCCCAGTTTCAGTGTTCAATTGGTTAATGATGGTAAAAATGAAAATGTTTCATTTCCTCTCATTAAATATAAGATTTTATTGACAAACCCTTAGCCAGGCTTACTAAGAAAAAAAGAGAAAAGGCTCAAATAAATAAAAATAGAAACGAAAGAGGAGAAATTACAACGGATATCATGGAAATACAAAGGATTATAAGAGAATACCATGAAAAACCATATGCCAACAAATTGGACAATCTAGAAGAAATGGATAAATTCTTAGACTTATACAACCTCCCAAAATTGAACCAAGAAGAAATGGAGAATCTGAATAGACCAATCACAAGTAAAGAGATTGAAACAGTAATCAAAAACCTCCCAAAAAATAAAAGTCCAGGACCAGATGGCTTCTCCAGAGAAT